GCATGGGTTTCTTCATGGCGAGAAGCTCATTTCGTCAAGGCATTCTATACGGTCGGCTTTACCGGTACGATTTTCAGTGTTGATGTGATCACATCGGACACTTCCTCACTTCGCAACCGTGGTATCGCATATGGCTTCACCTCGTCGCCTTATATCATTACTGCTTTTGCCGGATCCCCCCTGTCCAACCGATTTCACGAGACCAACTGGAGATGGGCATACGGGACCATCTGCATCATTCTTCCGATTGCTGCTTCTCCCCTGATCATCACATGGGAGTTCGCCAAGCGAAAGGCAGATAAGGACGGCCGATTGCAGTATAAGCCGCGTAGCACTCGGACATGGTGGCAGAGTGTGTGGTTCTATATCATCGAGTTTGACAGTAGGTCACGTTTCTATCTTTCTCTCGCCTGTACTGCATAACCCAGACTAACATCCTTCACCTACTTTCACAGTTATCGGTATTGTCTTGATGATCGGCGGATTGATCCTCTTCCTCACCTCGTTCAACATTGCCGGAAATACCAAGGGAGAGTGGAAATCGGCTAAGATAATAGCCATGATGGTAGTCGGGTTTTGTGTCCTTGCTGTATTCGTTGCCTATGAGCGCTGGGGCGCACCGACACCATTTATTCGTTTCTCCCTACTCTCGAATCGGACGGTTATCGGCGCTTGTCTGTTGGATATCACATATCAAGTTTCCTACTACTGCTGGAACAGCTACTTTACCTCTTTCCTACAGGTGGTCTTCAACACAAGCCTCACCCAGGCCGGTTACATCAGTGCGATTTTCGACTTGATGGACCCCATCTGGCTTATTGGCTGTGGCTACCTCATCCGAGTCACTGGCCGGTTCAAGTGGCTGCTCCTGTTTGCCGTTCCACTCTACCTGCTAGCCAGTGGCTTAATGATCTATTTCCGCGCCCCGGGTCACAGCGTCGGGTACATGTGCATGTGCCAGATCTTCCTGGCCGTTGGTGGCGGCACCATGATCTTGATTGAACAGGTTGCGGTCCTGGCAGCTGCCAAACATGAAGACTACGCCTCCATGTTGGCGCTGCTCAGTGTCTTTGGCAATGTGGGCGGTGCTGTGGGTAGCAGTGTATCGGGTGCCATCTGGACCAACACGCTTCCGAAGCAGTTGCGCGAGTTGTTGCCGGCGGAAACAAAGGACCAGTGGGCGGAGATTTACGAGTCGCTGGATGTTCAGCTTAGTTATCCAGTGGGCTCGCCTACTCGCACCGCCATTCAAAATGCGTATGCGTTCAGCCAACGGAACATGATGATTGCCGGAACCGCGGTGATGGGCCTGTCCATTGGCTGGGTTTTGATGATGAGAAACATCAAGGTGAAGGACAACAAGAATGTAACACAGGTTCTATTTTAGGCTTGAATGCCAGGACTTGACCTCCGCAGCCGTCTCCTGCGGTATCATGGAGTGAGTAGCGGATCTACTCGCCGGGGTGGGGGCTTCATGTCTAGAACCGGGATTTTCGTCGTGGTTGCAACTCCCTCTGTCCTTCCTGTTTCAGTCACCCTGTGTGCCTGATGACCATTTTCAGTTATGGCCAGCCCAAAGAAGCTCCAAGCCTGACGAAAGGCAGAAGAGGAGGGAGCGAATACGTTCGTTAGTTAGTTAATACATGGGCTCTATTGCGAAGCTCTTATTCCCTAACTATGAGTAACCAAGTGACTTTCATTGCGCTTTGTATTCTCTTAGATCCCGCTATGATATGTGGGGAAAGATGTGAGGCTATGAATATTCTAAATTCTTTATTACGATTAACAATAACTGAGAATAAACAGCTCAAGAACAGGGCTTCTATTACAGAGATAGTATACTATTTTCCAGCACTACTAAGGTGGAGTGATTTGTAGAAGTGTGTAGAACTCGGATGCTGCAGCTATATTCGAGGTCCAAGCAAGATCTTGTTAAACAGTAACTTGTTCGGTACCCCTGGGATAATCCAATTTTCAAGTTGGGAATCAACTATTGAAAGAATTAATATAACCGGATAGTATTGATTAATATAACTGGAACTGCTCTGGAAGTATAATCTAAGTAAGTATATAACGCCCAAGCAGTATATCGGTAAGGAGCATAGCAGAATCAATACTTATTTTATACTGGACTCTACCCACTCAGAAGGTTCCTGTATGTAGTGTAAGTAAGATGATCTTCAGTCTTTTGGCGTATTTTCTTTTTTTTTTTTTTTTTTTTAACTTTTTTTTGACGCCGATTTTGACCCAAAATATCATTCTACATTAACTTAAACAACTCAAGCTTTTTAGCCAGTTGTTTAAACATGTCAAGCATTTCAATTTTTAAATTAGTTATCCTGCTTGAACTGCTTAAACAACTGCTTAAAAATGCGCCAAGAACGGAAGATCATTTTGCATGCGCTAAATATGAACAAACGAACAATAATAATAATAATAAAAAAGGGTGGAGGAACAGACATACAGGAATTGGGCACACGTCCGGTCTAGGACAGAAAAGATATACTACATATTACAAATGGCAATGGGCTTGCAAATCGATGCATGTCCTAGCCAGCATCCCCGTAAGAGATCGTGTGAGGAACCCTAATCGCAATTACCTTTTCGCTGCTCACGTTCTGGAAAGAGCGAGAAGCTTTCGTTAGGTCTACAGAAATTTAGAATTAACCAGGCATTGTTAAATTTCCCCAGAAAGATGAAGCTCCTTAAGAGAAAAGTTCAGTCCCCTAGGATGAGTGCCGGTTGTGTTCGACCTCCTTTGGTTGTTGTAGCAGACCGATCAACTTGGAATGCAAAGCAAGAAAGCTAGCCAAACCTAGCACCCAGCGTGGATTTGACGTTTCACAAAAGTGCTTGCTCGAATTGTCGAAGAATCCTATGCCCGGATTTGGGGAAATCAGTACAGTATGCTGGCAAGGGATGTCTCATGCCATCTCGTCCCGACCCGGGCTTGAAGTATGCAATGCTGCTTGGAAAGCTTGATGTCAACTTACCTTGGTATGGACAGTGGGTATTGGTTGATCGAACCCTTGCTCCCTTGCATATGTTAATGCTAGGAGGAAATGAACTGAAAATCACACCCTACCTCTGTAGTTCCAAATGATGGACCCCATCAAACCAGCGATGGTTTGGCGTCTGCCAACTTAGGATGGAAAAGAGTATGCTGCAGAAAGCTCCTTCATTATAGAATGCGCTAGGATACCTGGCGGGTTGAGTTCCCATTTACGACCTTTGATTCTTCTGTCACTGTGTCTATCTTACGCTATGCCACAACTTATGAAGTCAATAAAAGCCGGAAGCGTTTCCTAGAGAATATTAGAAACGAAGTACTTCATCTATACTTGCTTGTACCCGAAAGCATACTACTACAAGATCTATCCAGAAAAGCGCATCGGGCCCTGCGGTGACCTTGCGCAGGCAAACAAGCATATGATCGAGAGTTGCCGTCACTAGTAATTATACCGATGGCCAACCAACCTTCCATATCGGACAGCGCAGAAGTTACAGAATGGTCAAGTAGAACGGTCCTAGGGACATAAGTAGAACACGTCATCATTCAAGCTGTAGCTCAGGGCGCCCAATCGAGCCAGTCTACATAGGATACTATTGCTGTTACTGCAATCCAATGAGGTAGTCTTAGCAATCACGCAAACAGCCATCTGTAACCACTCAGCTGAAGGCCTACCTGCCGTACCGGATGACCAGTGAAGTTCAGGGTTACTACCTGCTTCGCAGGAGAAATGCAAGCAATACCCCGGGGGAACATTACGGTGCTTTCACCTTGCTAAAGGCGAAGCTCCATCATTAATTCCTGGTAACGCTACATAGCATATTGTGGATGATTAGATCATTTTCACTAAACATAGTCTCCGCAGACTCCTGGCGATATGTCGTGCTGTGGTGCAAGGGTGGCGGCATGGTGGTATTCACAGTTGTTATGACGACCCTACCAATCGGGAAGCAGGTCATACTACATAGTAAAATATACATTCAGGGTGTAGTGAGTGGGGGGCACACTGTTAGCACCGTCAGTAGTTTGACCACCATTGTGTCTGGGGTTGGCTATACGAGTATATCTCGCCATTATCCGCGAAGACGCCAGCGTTGCATGGATGGGGCCATCCACCAGAGGGCGAGAAATATGTCTAGGGCCTTTACCTGTAAAAGATTAGGTCGAGGCATTTGCAGTGAACGGTCGAGCCGGGACAAAGATACATTGGTTGTGACGCATCGAAGTTAGCCCGACCGGGTGTGATTGAAGGAAGCTAGTCCAGGTAAACCGAGCCTGATGCTATATGGGTGGCTGATCGAAGGTCAATGGAAGGGAAGGGTGCTAGGTCCGCGGAAGAGCGTCCCTTGGACACAATAGTTGGCGTGTCTTTCCCTCTGCGGCGTCGTAGTCACTCGGTCTATGATATCTTCGTCGAAGACCGCCATATAGAGGTGCGAACCTGCGGACCAATCATAGGTATCCCTGAGAAAGTAGGTGCCTTTCATGTCTCCACCGACAGGTCAGCCACTCTGGCAGGTCTACATGAAGATGGCAGCAGCATGAGCACAGGGCTGGCCAACCAGAAGCGTTCTAGACCTGGATGTTTGATCCCGATAAGACCCGCCGGTCCAAGAAGCGAAAGGGACCTATGGATAGGACACACATAAGCGGCTCTCCCGCAACCGGATAAGGATAAGGTTACATTTGATATCTAGTCTTTCGCCGACGAATGCGAAGAGCTTGGGAACGGGAAAGTTTGATCAGAGACAACGCTGAAGTATGCCCCAATGGACGAAAGGAGAGGACTGTGGTGGTTGGCTGGCTGGAAGAATCAGCCCCTGGCATCACGCAAATTCCCACGGTTTCATTGCAGTAGACCACGTAAACGTCATGCCCACGTTGACCTGTACTAGAAGAGGGAGAAGATCCCGCTCAGGATGAAGCATAAAGACCGCCGGGAAAGCAAAGCCAAAACAAAAAAGCTTCTGTCACCATATACCTGCCCAGCATGACGGATTGGGCTCGGAACCTCAGAGGAGCCCCGGCGCCACCGACAGGCGATCGGGCAACTGTGAAAGAACGGCGCCGTAGTTGCCGGTTTTGCCGCAGTCGCAAACTGCGCTGCTCGGGTACGAGTCAGTGCAGTGCGTGTAAGGATCGACACATTGAATGTCTTTATGACTCGGTCATGGCTTCCAAGGGCCCATCTGACGCTCCCACGGTTGGCCAGGGAAAGGGAACCGACCATCCCTGGCGGGCAGTCCCAGTCAGGTCCCATTCCGACCCCTTACTTGGCTGTCATCCATCCGAAAGCAAGAGTGTCGCTGAAGCACTCAACGAACTGGCCGCAGACCTTCAGGGACGCCGGCTGGGGCTCCCACCGCTGGCCCTACCCGTGAGTCCTCAAAACGCAATATTAGGGTATCGAGATCTCGTTGTGGTCCTCACCCAAGACCTCATTGATATTGCCGTGAGGAGAGTGAGCATTCTGGACCATTGTCCATATTTCCCAGATGAGGATCGCATTGCTGGGAGTAAGTGGGACCCCTGCCCCCAGCGACTCCATCCCTTCGAGCCGATACCTCTCTCCAGATACGACACCCACCGAACGACCCAGCTCATTGACGTGTGGTTTGCTACGCACCCTTTGTCCATGGGGCTGTCCAAGACACTACTTCTCCGTTCTGTCCGTGATAACTCGTGCAATCAGCTTCTCCTTGCGACCGTCCTCGGAGGTGCACAGCGGGAACTTGGTGATGCAACAGCCCTGGAGGAATGCCACGCCCTTCTCCAGTGGGCTGCATCGCATCTACATGATATCAGAACCGACACCTCGGACCTGCCGACTGCGCAAGCATTGAGCTTGTTGGCCTGGCATGAGACATGTCACGGTAACGTGGAACAGGCGATGGTCTATACCATGTACGCCCATCGCACTGTGGCGCGATTGATCCAGGAGACATCCACCTTGGTCGCCTGGGATGTGCGGCAGGCAAACGGTATCCGGCTGGCCAAGGTCGAGTGGGAAATGTTGCATGTGCTCGGATGGGTAACCCTGTCACTCATAGTGTGGTATTTCACACACTCAGAGATCGTCAACGATGACCTGCCGATCCTGGCACAGATGCACACCCACCCACCCATTGACAAAGATGATTCATGGATCCTTCGTCTCGATCGTGCAGCAGATAACCTGTCCACCTTAACGCATCAGGGAGCCTGGATTCCAGAGATCTGGATTATCAGCCATATTACCGCTGCGGCTGTGCATCTACGCACAATCAACCCCGACCCGATACCCGCCCATTCCTGCTGGCAGACTCAGTTACATCACCACCTGCAGCCCTTGCATCGCCCCCGAGAGACAACGGGCATCCAGTATGACGAGGCGTGGGTTGCTTTGGCTTGCAATGCACGTATAATCGAGGCCAATATGGAGCAGTCTGTCTCCCACACATGGATTCTGGTTTCGTACCAAACTCTGTTAATCCACCTGCTCTTCCCGTGCACGGGCAGTATTCCCATCACCACGCCCCAGGTACAACAATTAGCCCATATTATCGAATTCTTTGTGGATCACTTTAAAATACTCACGACACTGACAACGGCTCCTTCAACGGCTTGTAGGAGCAACCGCTCTCTCGTTAGCTCCTACGTCACTGGGCTTGCGGCATGTGGAAGTGCGATTGAGATGGTTTCCATCCAGGTGCAAGGGCGCCAGCCGTGGCTGGAGCCGAATATCTCGCAGGGACTGGGTCGCCTGCTGGACCTGGCGGCTCAGCTCGACCAATTGTTTGCTAGTGATACGCTTCTGACAGACAGGCGCTGGCGAATCGTCAAGGATCGGTTTTGCCGACTGTCAAGGGCGAGGGAAGACACCGGTACTGCCGATGCCTCCGGCTGGGATGTCACTTTCTCTGGCCTCCCTCCGGTGGTCTCTACGCCTGCAATTTTGCCTCTGCTCGGTGCGATTGATGGTTTACCGAATGCACCTGGGAATAGCTTGTTATCAAACCCCTAGATTGAATGGTTATTATCTACCCCGGGCCTCCTTGGCTGCACGTAATTGTACCGGCGACATTGGCTATGCGCCATAAATCTGTGCTACTAGATGATTGTAACTATAACTGAAATCGAATACCAATAGCTTTACCTTACCATCAGAGTAACCTGCGGTGGTGTGTATGTACTGTGATATATAGTCACCCCCAAACGTTTCTATGTGGTCTCAATTCTTCCCTCACAAGACTGAGATCTCCTGTCCCACGGCCATTAGCAGGCGTTCAACCTCGTCTTGTGCCTTCGGAAACTCTCTGCCAATGTGACTATTCCGGAGATCTCCCGAAAACGAGCGGAGATGATCGATTCCGATCCTGAGTCGAGGTCTTAGGTGTTCCAAGGTTTGCTTGAAAAGAACTCAACTTCTGGTCGAGGACGCTGGGTAAGATTCACTTCCCGTTCTATCTCAACTGGTAGCAACGTCGAATAGCAGCTTTCCCAGAAAACGCGCACTTCCCTCCTTCATCATGTACTGCGCTATCCGCTTATCTTTTCTTTTACTGTTGAGGTACCCAGTGATGACTAAGAGTGTTCTTGCAACGGAGTGTGGATTGTGATGTGGTTCTAGTCAACAGGCTGGTAAATTGGCATGTCCACCACCGAACTACCACATCAATAATACAGAATGAATGAATCGAGCATCGGCTTCTCCTCTGTCGCCTGACTGCTTTTCTCAAGAGGAAATCTCTTGTGATACGGCGAGTGGGTAATCTGACACGGAGGACCTGTCAAGAACGCCTGTTCGACAGTTATTGTGCGAAGAGATTCGTGGTAAAGATCCTTGGTTCAAGTTCAGATACGGTCGGAGGGCTGGAAGACACGCGACCATAAGTCCCACATAGGCATCCAGGGCACACCAAAGCTCAATATTTGTCGTTGGCACGCTCGGATATGTCAATTTAACAATGAGAAAGCGCACGAGGCAGGCGCTTATGCTGAAAATCCCGAGCCCAAACGTTGTGTACAGGCCAAGCTTCTTCTTCCAGTCGAGTCTGAGCATCCTCAGGATTGAAAGTGGTAAGATGAATATGAATATATCGGAGGAGAAGTGGAGCGCCCAGGTGGCAATCCAGAGGGTGACTTGACTCAGGGCGTCACAGGGTGTTAAGGTGAAACTGACCCTTTTTTAGTCAACTGGTGTTGCAAAATCGCGTCGGAATTAGTGATACCTACCTTGCCCTCCCATGTTGGAGGCAACTTAGGGACACCAGCAAGATCGATGTCATGTATGATAAGCCCGAGTAGATCGTAAGTGCCCATAAAGAATAGAATATCGATCTTAAGGTCGACGGGAAAATATAAAAAAGGAACGATAGGAGGGCGGCTTTGTTGAGATACAGTGTCGTGAGAAGCGGAAACCATCCCACGAACAGGAGCTGTGGACATGTTAGCACCATGATTTTGATATCTGGCATTTACGCGATAACCTTTTGCGTCGATGGTTCTGCATTTGACTCGAATTCAGACCAAGAAGTCGAGGGACTCAACCACCCCAGCGACATTAGCTTCAGGTCTAACGCTGCTACACACACGCCGCTTAGGAATGCGAGGCATGTCAAATAGTCACTAAAGATCAGCCTTCGGTGCTCGAAGTGCAGTCGGAGGAAAAGACGAGCGAGGACTAAAAGAAGACAAAGCCCGAGCAATGTCCATTCCAGGGCCTTGAAACAGTCAGGATGAGACCGCATCAACGATATTCGCAGTTAACCCACGATCACCGTCGCCGTTGATACAACGTGCATAGTGCTAAACGGCGGCCCGGTAGGATGCCGTTCGGATGGGGTGGGATTCCAGTCACATTGTATGTGAGGCAAAAGACACACGAGTAGGTTCTAGCTGTCGTCGATACATGCGTCGTAGCCACGTGATTCGAAGCGGAGGCCAGAGTCGTTGCGGATAAGGGGTGCTGGACGCACAAGAAGTCATGGCACTGGGTAGTATTGATAGGGACACCCCAACCTTCGGGAGGTCAGCGGCCTTACACACCTCTCTAGAGTGTCCCCACGTTCCTGCACTGACCAGGTGATTATGTCATGAACTGGGAGAGTTTGAACTATCCAGTGCGAGTGGACTATGTACCGAACGTGTTGGTTTAGTGGCACCAAAAACTTACCTGGACCGGGATTCGTCGTGACCCGTGGATGATCACCGTCGCAACAAGCTTCCCCTTTCTTCGATCGTCTCAGGGGCCATCCTCAACTTGCTCTCTTCCTCGACATTCGAAGGACTTTCTACAATCCTAGTCTTCCGTGCCGAGACGACACTGCAGCTATCCGCGGTGGCTTAGTGAAGGGGTTTGGCCGATGTGGTTCATTTCGCCAAGAGGTGCTCTGTCAACTCTACTTGTATCCTGGGGCTTTGGTTTGTTGCACTTTCTGTCCACATTCCCTGCTCTTTGAACCATCGATGCCTAGGGTTCGCTGGGCTTGCCCGACCTCGATCTTAGCATCCTTGCGCCTTTGGCCTGTGCCACACGTACGCTTAGGGGTGGCGGCCTGTCGACCCACTCAGCACCGTCGAAGCCGCGGAGCCGCGGAACGTGTGGCTCCGCGGGGATCATCCCAGATTCCCCCCGCAGGCTGTCATGCAACCCTAATTTCGTCTCGTAACGCGGACCTGCGGGCGGATCTCGTGGCCAGGCCGTAAAGCAAAGCTTGTTGAATTTTTCGTGGGTAAGGCACACAGAGGGGATTCTATGTATCTTCATGACGTTCGGATTGTTGACCCTTATCCATTGGATAGAGGGAGCTGAGCTGAGGCCGGTCCAATCAGCTCGACATCAGGACCGACCGGGAGGGAAACAGATATATCGTAGTGTCTGCCAAAACGCAAGTGCAACCACATGCCATCTCAAAACAAGCCATGGACCAGCACCACACTATGAAACCCTCAGATTCGACCAGATTCGTCTTCAGGCTGAATAAACATTTCCAGATCCCCTCCAGAGTTGTCCGTTCTGATCAATGGGGGGACTTTCAAGATACCAAAAGATGCGCCGGCCGACGGGGCTGGACAATCTATTCGAGTCATATTTCCCCATCCAATCCTATCTATCCCGTATCATGAATCGTACTTCCAGCCAACGAGACTAGCAGTGAATGGAGGGCATGGTCACCAGGAGGCCGGGTTTGTCGGTCCCATGCTCATCATCAAACTTGCCCCAAGGCTCTCCAATTGGCCCCAAGGGTGACTGTTTCGACTTGCTAGAGAATATCCAAGTTACTCCCGATGAGAGCAGCTTTTACATGCTATGCTGGCTGGTCCAAACAACGCGAGTGGTGGAACTTAGGCGAACTTTGCAGGATGGAATTGAATGATCATCCTTCTTTGAAGGAACAACTATTCAGAGCTGCAGGAAGATAGCTGGGTTACTCTAGAATGTTGACACGATTCTGAAGTGACCGGCTTTCTCAAGATAGCCTCTAAACGATGGCAACAATCAATATAAGAAGCTTCGGAATCTGTTGTCGTGTTATTTTTGTGTTCTTTATGCTTTTGTTCGTGCGATAGACATTGCTGAAAACTATCTACGGCAAATCTCCACCCACCCAGACCCATGTTCCAGAACCTACATAAAACGTGTACCCACCATTTTTACCTCCATGGAACACTCGTGCTGCCCACTGATAAGAGCTCCAGAGGTATAGGAAAGGAATATGCTGCCGTCGGAACCGCCGGCGGACCCGCGGAGGAGTATCAAAGCCCAGTAGTCTGAGAGGGGTCTGCCCTTCCCGCCCCGCTGCTCCATCCAAATATAACTACAAAATTCAGCAGGACTTAGTAGAAAGATATTGTTAGAATCCAGTATAAAATCTTGAATACATCATTGACTTAACGCTCTACACGTTACTCGTGCTCTTCAATCACCGCGTGATGACCATGGTGCAGAAAAGCACGAATCCAAGTGCAACACGGCCCCGGCTGTCCATCGCTGAAAAGTTCGATATTATCCCTGCTATTTTCTCCATTCTCTCAGCGGGGTTCTTTGCATTGTTGACCGGCCTCAATCGAGGCGAGATAGGTGCTCCCACGTTCTTCTTGCATGTCGCATATGCGATCCTTCGCAAGGCGACTACGCGGCTCTCGGTATTGCAGTTTCAGTCAGTCAGTCTTATTTGGCGCGCAATGAGGGGAAGTCTTATATCCAATACTGAGCCACTATATAGATCATTATCTCCGCCGACCGATCAGCTGTATGAAAAGTATGCACGGTCGTTAGGAAATACCCCGCAGACTGTGGCGCTAGAATGCGGCGGCAAGGGACATTGGATAGGAGATAGACATGCCACATATGTGTTGGTCTGGTACCATGGTAAAAATAGAATATGCACAAAACTGGCCGATACTGCCAATTTTACCGCTGCTAATGTTGGACAGGCGGGGGTTTCTGCCTTCCAGCAAATATGGGCTACTTCAAGTTCTGCGAGCGGCTCGTCGCATCGCACCATGTCAAGGACCTTACCATTTTCTTCTTGGAATACACGCTTGCACCGCACGCGCAATACCCGACCCAGATCGTTCAAGCAGTTGACGCACTTCGGTACATTGTGACACAAGCCCACAGGCGCCCTGGTCATGTCATACTGGGAGGAGACTCGGCGGGCGGGAATTTGGCACTGGGAGTGCTCAGCCATCTTGCTCACCAGCACCCCGCCGTCGCAAAGCTTGACATCTCTGAGCCTCTGGGAGGACTTGCTCTCCTCTCGCCCTGGACTTCACTTGACTATCAGCCACCGGACAATTTGGATTGCAGAGGCGATATTATCACGCCACTTGTTGCCGGCCCGTGGTCCCGAGCATATCTGGGACATGCAAACCGGGACCATTACACTGACCCATCTACTGCGCCGTCTACTTGGTTTCGGGATTTTCCAGTAAGGAAAGCCTTGATTCTGGCTGGACAAAATGAGATCATGCTTCGTGATATCAAGGTTTTCGTGGAGAACTTTGTGGTAAGGCGCACTCCAACTGCCACGACAAATCTAGGAAGTGGACGTTATGAAGGCTGACTGAACAGGCTGGCTTTTCTCGAGTAGACTTCTTTATAGGGAAGCGCGAATCCCATGTGGCCCCTATATATAATGTCTATGTTGGGGACAATAAGGAAACTGAGCAGGGTAGGAAACTTGTTGAATGGCTGCACGAAACCTTATAAGACCAATCTAGTATACCGCCGTTACAACCAAAATATATATCTTTATAAAAAATTGCGTTTCACTACTATATGAAATAAATCATATATATACATAAGGATAGCGTTGTCTGAGAAAATATAAGTCAGAATACGTCCACACAGAAACTTTTGACGTAGAACTGTAGATGGATAAATGCCTGTTTCCTGAAGTGCTTGACGGCAACGTTTAGGGGAACTTAAAATGTAGATTCAATTCTACTTGCGGGATAGCTCTAAAAACAGCGTATAGATATAAATTGAAATATTGCAGTTTAACCACACTTGATTCCCCTCAGCCGACAGACCTTGAGCCTCGTTTCAAGACATGCCCCGGTCCAACGCATCTACGCATGGCTGATAACCATACAACCACCGCAAAGACCACGACCAGCACCACGCTGGAGCATACGTATATGCGATGCGGCGCAGAAGAGGACCGAAAATGGGTAGGATCTTTCCCATGTGGAAGAGCGCGAAAATGTTGGAGAAATGAACCAGATCTTTAGCGCGACCTTCACGTTGCTGACGGTATTTGTCTAGCAACTTTGAGAGGTCGGCCATGTTTTCGTCCTGAAAATACTCATGAAGGGTATTTCCCAGCTCGGTGGCGTCCTCGATTGCCTGGCAGGCGCCCTGGCCAAAGAAGGAGGTCATTGCGTGCGCGGCTGTGCTAGGTCAGTGTATTTCTTCCGAGCGAAACGTCTTCCACACAACTCTACTCTGTGCGACTTGTAACCACTTACCGTCTCCAATGAGGGCCACTCGTCCTGCCGCCATCGCTGGAAATGATGTCTCCTCGAAAACATCACTGGCCGTGACTCGTTCGGAACGGCCGACGACTTCAAGCCCGGTTAGCAGGTCATCAGACTCGACGAATGCATGAAGGGAGCAGAATGCAATGCGAGAAGAAGGGGGACAGGCTTACCGTCTTTCACCAGGCCTGTCTTTCCAAACGGATGATAATGGCCACCATACACTCCATTGATCATGTCCTTATTGACGCTTTTCCAAACTGAGCGGTCCTCGGCCTTTAGATCCGCTCGCTATAACAAAAAGACCGGTCAGCTTCGAGTCGACTCTGGCGTGGAGCTCTGGGAAGCTGTCATTCCCCTTACCTGGACGCCGATGAACCACTGCCTCTTGTCCTTGCACGGCCAGGTGGTGAAGATGCTGTCATCGTACAGCATCCACGTCCCGACACCCTCCTCCTCCGCACTCAAGTGCTCCAATGGGGCCGTGTATCCACTCATGTGGGTTCTGCCGGTAAATCGAATTGTGCTATTGATTATTGTCTCGCCTCCTCTCTTCGCTAATGCTTTGCGTGTCGCCGATCGAATGCCATCCGCTCCGACGACAATCTGCCCGGAGAATTCTCGTCCGTCTTCCAACGTGACTGTCACAACCTTCTTTTCTACATTATCCACGACATCTACCACTTGGGCACCAAGCAGAACATGCTCTTCACCGGCGGCACGATACAGTGCGGAATGAAAGGCGTGTCGCTCGATCTTGTACACGGGGTAACCGAAGGTCTTCTCCGTGGATTCGAAATCCAGCATGTTCCACTGCGTGGTGTTGCGGAAGATACGGATCTTACGCAGTCGCTGGCCCTCTCGCTCGATCTCTGGGAGGAATCCGAGTTGATCCAGCACACGTAGGCAGTTGGGTGCTAGTGAGATCCCCGCCCCTACAGGAGTCACTGCGGCACTACGTTCGAGGACCAGGTACTGGAGGCCGAGGTGCTTGCAGATGTTGGCTAGGGTGAGGCCGCCAATACCGGCGCCTACAATGAGGACTTGTATCGGTTCATGGTCGGTGTCTGCGGACGTCATGGTTCGGCTGTGGTCCGGGCTGGTAGGGGGGAATAGAGAGTGGAATGATTACCCAGTAAAGACGAAGGTTGGGGGAAGAAAGGTACAAGCTCTTAGGGCTAATGAGAAAAGCCACGCAATTGTCCTCGGATCACGATTGATGTGGTTGTTCGTGAAATATTATCTTATAAAACCTTGAGATGTGTTCTTATATTTGTACCAGTACGATATGTAGCCGTCCGAAGTAGAGTTGAGTTTATCTAGATGGCCACGATTTCGCCCATGTCATGGCCATCAATGGTGATCTGAGGTACGTGCTACTCCACACCGGGGAATAAATGACAGTATGGCCAATGATGCAATCGCAGACAGGATTTTGGACGAGTGGCATCCAGTCCGCGGTCGTGGTGGAGACCGTACGCGGAGAATGTATATTTTATGGTTACATCCGCGGACCTGGTTTTTTTTTTTTTTTTTTTTTTTTTTTTTCTATCTCAGTCAATGATTTCAAGTATGCTCATTTTTGTATGTCTGTGTTCCGTCTCTGTGGGTAGTATCGAATGGAAAATGGATCCGTTACGATTTGTACGAATGGCAAAGATCATCTACGCCAGAAAAATAGTAACTATGGGATATGGATGTGATTCAACACTGAATAGATTACCAATTGAATGAAGATAAATTAGTATTATTCGTTATACTTAAGTCGAACGCATGAAATTGGTGATTTTCTTTTTTAATATACACTCGGGGTGAACGTAGATGAAGCCAATTTGTAGTAAAAGTCGCAGTATGAATTCAGATTGAACGTCCTCCCTATACCAAATGTATAGCCCTCTAGCTCATGTCAATATACTGAGCGCTTCTCTATTCCTATAATAAGCAGCTGGCCTTGATCTCGACTCAACGTAGCATGACAGTCGTCTCAAGACCCAGGCCCACGCGGCCGAATGCGCACCGCAGCATCTCCCTCCAGCCAAGGGCTTCCCACCTTGGTAAAATCGAGTCGCGACAAATCGGCGGCGGCTCCATCACGACCCCACTCCATTTCATAATTCATCAAGAGCGCGGCGAGAAATTCGCGCGCCATGATGGCGGCAAAGTTTTCACCCGGGCAACGATGGTTTCCTGCGCCGAACTGCAGGAAGGCCCCTTCCTTAGGGCCGTTCCATGGATCAAGTCGGCCGTCAGGGAGCAGCCATCGATGTGGCTGATACTCGTGCGGTTTCGGGTAAATGGTTGGGTCGTGGTGTGTCAGATACGGAGAGATGAGAACGACGGAGTTCTCCGGGACCGTATAGTCGCTCCCCTCGAGGCTAACGGGCCGTTTGGTGGCGCGGAACATATGCACCCCAGAGTACCGGCGACCTTCTTCACGAAGGCAAGCAAGCAGCGGTGCACATTGGTGAATATCGGGTGTGGTGGCCAGAGACTCTCGAATTTCCTCTTGGTATACAGGATGACGGAGCAACTGTAATGGAAGTCAGGTCCAGCTTCCACAGCAGCCAATGTGGGAGGCTTACCTCGATAATCGTCCAGGCAATGCTGGCGACGGTGCTGGTGTGTGCCGCAAACATTAGTACCACATGGTGGGATGGATAATAGTCCGCCAGCTGGGCAGTTCGGGGATCGTTTAGCGTGTAGTTAATATAATCCAACGAGTCGCGCCAAACGTCCGATTCGAGCTGGCGAGCCGCCAGGCGTTCGCGGAAGATCTCGGCAAACCGATCTCGGGCTTTGGCTAACTGTCGTCCCGGTCGGTGTGGAACCCAGGATGGTAAAAGGAGGTTGAAGGGATGGCCCACGAGTGACTCCATCTGTTGAAGGAGGTGGTAGAGCTCGTCCACATGGTGGTCGTAGAAATCCTCGCCCATCATGCAGCGGACGATGACGCGATGCACAAACCGGGAGATGCTCTCGAATATCTCCACATCTGGCATACGTGACCAGTGCTGTAGAGACCGGTGGGCTTCTTCGCCCGCCAGTCTCGCGTAGCTCTGAAGCGCGGCACTTCGGTTGACGCCGCGGTTGATGGAGCCGAGGAGATTGCGGCCGTGGGTGAAATAGCCTGGATTGGCGGCCTTTTTGAGGAACATACCCTAGAGGAATAATGAGCACGAGGGAGACGAGCTGGAACAAGGGTAAAACTCTACTATGCCGCCAGAGAATGACCAAGTGTCCTCCTTCATTTCTAGGAAAACCCGATTCCATTTCTGGCCCCGAAGATAAAAGATCTGCTTCACGAGACAATCGACCCGAAAGATGGACCCGTACTTCTGTGTGGCTTGCTCGACAAACCGAACTGGGCTTGCTAAAAATGCTGAGATATCACCAAGGAAATTGGTTCCTCTATTAGCGCGGGGAGGCAATTTGTTGCTGGCACCACGAGACGACAAAAGCAGTACGGCGATTCCCAGAATCCCGAGCCATGCAGAGATGAAGCTCAGTGGGAAAGATTCGAAAAGGAGAGCCTCTAGCATTTTGGCTAACATAGACAATGAAGTGGGCTGAAGAACAGGACTTGTCGAGGTACAGTAGAACGGGGTAAAAAGGAAATCGTCGAGAAGGAAGAACAGGGATACATGAGCTGCCCATCACCTACGCACTCATCTTTGCCATGAGCACAGCGACCATGAAAACCATCTCCAGTACTTCCACCACTGGTTCAAACAAGACCCCAAAAATTGCTCTCCGCGGAGGACTGGAAGATCCGCTGGGAAAGGTTGCATTGGGGACGGTCCGGGTATCCCCAGTGCAACCCTAATCTCTCCCCAGTGCAACAGCACTTTTGCTCCGACATGCAACGACTACGCTGAGATACAAAGTACGTGAACTATATATCAACTTCCAGAGATTGTTAGACACATCTGCTGCGCATTGACAGCTAGATTCGGTGGTTTGGATGTCGCACATCGCAAACATGACGGGAACACTCACGGGAACTCCGTCAATACGGGAGGCACAACCTTCTTCGAATGAGGAAAAGGCTCCTTTTCCAACCCCAGCGGCGAGCATGGAAGAAGATGTCCATCCAAGATGGCGGCGGCCGTTGGTAGTGGTTGGGGGATTCCTCACCTACTTTTGCACCTATGGTCTGCTGTCTTCCTTCTCCCGCTAAGAATGAATGAACACTTACGGGCCGGACAGGCTTCATGAATGCATGGGGGACATTTCAATTCTATTATCATGAGGTGCTCCTGGTAGGCATGTCAAACAGTACACTTGCTTGGATTGGCGCTCTACAGGTCGGGGTCCCCCTCTTGCGTGCAGAGAACGACCGCGATGATTGATATTCAGATCTAGCTCTTCATCCTGTTGATCAGCGGGCTGGTGGTTGGGCCCCTGTACGACGCTTGGGGTGCCACACGCATTTTCGCCCCTGGTGCTGTCCTATACGTGGTGGCTATCATGTTCACCAGTGTATCGTCCCAGTATTACCAGCTCATTTTGACACAAGGGATACTGTTGGGTATCGGAACAGCCATGTTGTGCGTCAATCCCCTTTGCGCCGCCCAGTTGTATAGCGTTCTAATCGGCACTAGATTCTTTCCCACCATCACTGCCGTCTCTCAGTGGTATGGTCAGTCGCGCGGACTCGCTCTGGGTATTGTCGTGTCGGGGTCCTCCCTGGGTGGCATTTGCTGGCCGCTGATGCTCGAGCGACTGATCAGGCAGATCGGATTTCCATGGACCATGCGGACGGCTGGTTTTCTTTGCCTCGCGTTGCTGGCGCCCAGTGTCTTCCTGGTTGTTTCCCGGCCGCGCATCGTGAGAGAGCAGATGGACGACCAGCACAACTGTCCTCCGAAAGTGATCCCCAGTCTTTTTAAAGATCTACTGTATGTCACGTTTGTCGTTGGCATGTTCTTAGTTCAGTGGGGAATGTTTATCCCGTTCTTCTTTCTACCCACGTATGGCAGCTCGAACGGATTGGATACTGATGAGGCGAATAACCTTGTCTCTTACCTGAACGCTGGTTCCTTCGTGGGACGCATCGGCTCTGGTTACATGGCCGACCTTTACGGACGGTATGTATTCCCTCAATAGAAATAGTATCTTTGGATATGTTCAGAGCGTTGGCTGACTGGAATTCATTCCTGCATTGACTGTAGGCTGAACGTCACTTTCGGCTGTTCCGCCCTCTGCGCAGTGCTAGTCTTCTGTCTGCATGCCATGACTGGAAAGGGCTCGATAATTGCATTCTCGGTGCTTTACGGAATATTTTCTGGCGGACTTATCTCGCTGCAGGCCGCCTGCGTGTCACAAATCACGGCCGACACGCGGATCCTTGGACTCCGGATCGGCGCTATGATGGCTATTTGCTCATTTGCGTACGTGGTCAGGAACCCACAATTACTCACGAAGCTGGGCTGACAAGACTTCCGTAGTGGGCTGACTGGAAGCCCTATCGCGGGCGCTCTTATCTCGCACGATCATGGAGCTTACGGGGATATGATCAATTTCAGCGGAGTCGTCCTTTTAGCAGGTGCCATTGTCCTGGCCGGGGTGCGTGGTTTGGGTGCCCCCAGGGTAAAAGTGTTCTGAGGACGGTGAATCATTTACTGCTTGTAGTTTCTACAATGTTTCGTGTGGACGACTCTGCTTTGGCGCATGGGGCCATGTCAGTTTGTCGTGAATCCGTCCGCATACCCGGTATGGACGTTGGACTAAAGGTTAGGTGCGCGTACGATGTGTTATAACTCCCTGCAAAGTGGTGGTCTGTTCCTTTTGGTACAATGTGGGTTGAACCAGGTTGGAGATAGTGAAGCCGGTCAATATCAACGAAAGTTTAGTTTGAAATGCGCCTACAAGTTACTGCTCCATCTAAGAGTCCGTTAGGTCTGTGCTTGTAAAAGAACCAATGATTGACGGGTTGTACTGCCTAAGGGAATGGACAAACATTCTCTAGGGCACTCGTCCCCCTGGCGAAGAGAGGTGCACCCATCACACTGGACTAGTAAACTGAGAGAAAGGAGTCCATCGTCACTGTCAAGCTCATACTACACAATGAATAGTGTGTCATACACTGACTAGTCCGCGGATGCGAGCTGTGGGGTTGCCCTCATACTGCAGCATCTTCCATAGCAAGCAAGGGAGTGGGGTACTTGACTCCGCGGCGACTCAGTGAAATTCATTTCGAGTGGACCGTGGTTCGAGCAGTTCCATGGGATCCCATTCATGCCAAGCGTTCATACCGTGCATCGGAGCTTTCAACGTACTATTTATTCCTGTCACAAGCGTTCTCCGCGGCAGTTTATCTAGAGCATACGCTAGCCCACGGATATCCTCACTTTCAAGAAACTTGACCACGGCGACGGATCCTGGAACCTATCCCACCCGAATGCTGGACTTGGACTGTTTGAAAATTCTAGTTGGGAAGGTTGCAAGCCGACACCACGGGCTAGCTTTGCACCTCTACCCAACCCACCGCGGACGTTGCCATTTGAGCAAGGAGCGCGGACAGGATGGAATTTCGACAGCGTCAGTGGGTATGGGCGCACAGGACCTGGAATTGATCTGCCAGCAGGAATCGGCAATACAGGAGGATGCTTTACCCATGCGATGTGACGTTTCCCTCCGGGGCTTTGACAATAGGAACTTCTCGCCGTCTTCCACGGACCACGGAGAGCCCGAGAACGACCTAATCAGAAGCAGGCGGCGGAAATCAAGCTCACCATGCAGGCAAATAGGGGCGCCCAAGAGAAATGCTTATATATGACCAGAATCGTTGGATGTCGTTCGTATTTCCAAACAGCACAGCCTCACCACAAGTGACCGCACATCTAGAGACCGGTATACTCCTAACCGTCCTTGACGAACTCCAGAAGCTAGATCACGCTACGATCAAGTCAATATCCCCCAGTTGCAATTACCGCACGTATCACCACGTACCGCAATGTCTGCTTCACTTACCTCGAGTAGTTTACAGTCCTCATGGGCGAACTCGCCCAAGAGTGCGTCGCCTCCACGTACCTCTTCCTGGCCCAGTCCTGCTTCGTCTATAACGGGGCCTGATCCAGCGGTGATGGTTGGGTACGGCTGTCGCGTTGCGGGAGCGGACCGCCCAAGTAAGCTGTGGGACAATATCAACGCGCAAGTCGATATGCGCAAGGAGATTCCCGCCGATCGATTCAACATCAACAACTTCTACCATCCTGATGGCACCCACAAGGGCACTGTAAGACTCACGCCATGAGACCATCCACTCTCATATGTGCTCTTTCCTATTTACACATAATGCTGACCCTTATCCACAGACCAATTGCAAGTATGGTTATTTCCTCGACCAGGACATCGGGATGTTTGACCGCAGCTTTTTCCGCATCTCGCCCAAGGAGGCTGAGGCAATGGACCCACAGCAAAGACTGATGCTCGAAGTTGTCTATGAAGCGCTGGAGGATGCCGGAATCCCACTGGAGGACATCTGGGGCACCCGTACCTCAGTCTTCTGCGGCTCCTTCAGCAATGACTACAATGCCATGACTACGAAGGACCTGGAGTACTATCCAAAGTACGCCGTGACCGGGACTGGCAATGCAATCCTTGCCAACCGCATCTCGTATCTCTTTAACCTGCAGGGACCGAGCGTCACCATCGACACGGCGTGCTCCTCCTCTCTGGTGTCGTTCCACCTCGGCGCGGAGACTATCCGCAATGGCGAGAGCGATGTCTCCATCATTGTTGGATCTGCACTGCACTTCGACCCAAACATCTTTATCATGATGACCGACCTTGGTATGTTGTCACCGGAAGGACGGTGTCGTGCTTTTGATGCTCGTGGCCAAGGATATGTTCGTGGTGAAGGCATCTGCGCCGTCGTTCTCAAGCGTCAAAGCCAGGCAGAGCTGAATGGCGACCACATCCATGCCGTGGTACGCGCGTCGTCCATGAACCATGATGGTACTAAGTCCGGTATTACACTTCCTTCGAGCACTAGTCAGGAGGCCCTGATCCGAACTACGTATGCGAAAGCCGGCCTCGACCCAGCACACACTCCCTATGTGGAGGCTCATGGCACTGGCACGGCTCGTGGCGATCCCGCCGAAATGAGAGCTCTGCAAGCGGTCTTTAGCCCCGCGCATCGCAAAGAGCCATTATGGGTGGGTTCTGTGAAAACCAACATCGGACACACCGAGGGAGCGTCGGGTCTTGCGGGTATTATCAAATCAGCCATGGCGTTGGAACGTGGAATCATACCCCCCAACATGCTATTCAAATATCCAAACCCCGAGATAAAGTTCGAGGAGTGGAAGCTGCAGGTACCCACGGAAGCTACCGACTTTCCAAGCTGCCCAGATGGCACACGGCGTGCGAGTGTTAATTCCTTTGGCTATGGTGGAGCGAATGCTCACGTTATTCTGGAAGCATATCAGCCCATGCCGATGCTGACACCTCCCCCGGTTCTACCAGATGCCCTTGTCTCGGCCGTCAAGAATCGCCCATTTTTGATCCCTCTCACTTCACACACAGAGAAGGCGGGCAGCATCTGGGCCGACAAACTGGGCGGCTACATCAAGGAGCAACCGGGTAATGTGGCAGACCTGGCCTGTAGCCTCTCATCGCGCCGCTCGATCCACGCATACCGCTCCTTTGTTGTAGGAAAGTCTCGTGCAGAAATCGCTGAGCAGCTCAAAGGCCCGGCACCATGGACAAAGGCTGTTGAGACACCTCGCCCGAGATTGGGATTCGTCTTTACGGGGCAGGGCGCGCAGTGGTTTGCCATGGGACGCCAGCTGATTCAACACTCGCCCTTGTTCCAGCAGACATTGCAGCGCTGTGACAGAACACTGCACGCTTTGCCAGATGGGCCAGAATGGTCAATCATCGAAGAGCTTTCTCGTGATGAGGAACATTCGCGATTGACCGAGACCCGTCTCTCGCAGCCCATCTGCACGGCACTCCAGTTGGCTATCGTGGACCTCCTGCGCAGTTGGGGGATTGAGCCGACCTCCGCCGTTGGTCACTCTTCGGGTGAAATTGGTAGTGCGTACGCAACGGGTATCTTGTCGTTTGACAATGCGATGTACGCCGCCTACTACCGAGGTCTACACATGTCCAGTGGAGGAAATGGCGTTGCAAGCACTGATGGCGCCATGTTGGCTGTGGGGCGTGGACCGACAGAATTGACCAAGGAGCTGAAGGAGTATGAAGGCCAGGTCAGTCTTGCGGCGGTCAACAGCCCGTCTAGTGTCACCCTTTCTGGTGATGCTTTGGCCATCGACGCGCTGCAGACTCAGCTGGAAGAGCAGAGGGTGTTCACGCGGCGGCTCCAGGTGGCCCAGGCTTTCCATTCCCATCACATGTACCCTCTAGCACCGGCTTATACTGAAGCACTTAAGAGCTGTTCGGGCTTCAACGCTGCCGACTCAAAGGCACGGATGTTCTCCAGTGTCACTGGGCGCCTCGCAAATCCTAGCCAGATGGGTCCTGAGTACTGGGCTGCGAATATGACCGGCTGCGTCCGTTTCTGGGAGGCTCTCGTGGGGATTCTCGTGGATGAAGAGGAGGAGCAGAATGTGGATATCTTGGTGGAGATCGGTCCGCACCCAGCCTTGCGGGGCCCTTCTCGACAGATTATGAAATCTCTTGGTATGGACCTACCTTACCTGGGATCGTTGGCACGCAAGATGGCGGACTTTGACTGCCTTTTGACATTGGCCGGACAGCTCTTCCAGCACGGATATCCAGTGAATCTGGATGCGGTCAACAGCGACCACTTCCTTATTGAGCCAGATATCCCCTGCCAGGCACCAAACGGCAAATTCCTTGATGACATTCCCACATATGCTTGGGACCACGAGCGTTACTGGGCGGAAACCCGGCTGATCCGCGAGCACCGGCTGCGGCCGCATCGACACACCTTGCTGGGCGCCAAGCTGCCGGGCTGTGTGGAGCAGCGGCCTATTTGGCGCAACTATCTCCGCATTAAGGATGTTCCTTGGCTGGCAGACCATGTCATAGATGGGAAGATTCTCTTTCCCGCAGCTGGATATATCAGTATGGCGATTGAAGCCATGTGCAATGTGGGCGACGTCGGTGCTACCCCTGACAGTAGCGTCCTGCTCCGCAACATCACCATTAGCTCCGCCCTGGTTTTGGACAACAGTGATATGGGAACGGAGGTTCTTGTAGAGCTGCACGCCCCTATGACCTCAGCCAAATCCCGCTCGGGGACGTGGTACGAATTCACAATCTTCTCATATCAGGCCCGCCAAGGATGCGTCGAGCACTGCACTGGCCAGGTCTCCTTTGGTGACGAGCCGCCAGACTCGAAGGCCTACGAGAGTGTTCAGCAGCTCCTAAGCAAGAGCACTAGCAGCGCTCCAGCTAGTACATACTACCGACATTTGACGGAGTTTGGATTAGCGTACGGTGATCCATTCCAGCTGCTTTCCGGTCTTATTGAATCGGGACCCGGGTTTGCAGTCGGAGAGCTGGCATTTGAGCCGATGCAATATGCCACTCAAGCGGCCGATGTCACCGTAGCACATCCTACTTTGCTTGACGCCTCCTTCCACACGATCTTCCCGGCCATGGAAGCAACATTGCAAAGGCCCCTCGATGAAGCGTCGGTGCCTACATTCGTGCGGTCTGTGAGAGTTCATCCAAAGATGTTTGCGGTTAAGGATGCAACAGACACTCAACGCGTAACCGCTCGCACCTACACCACTCCCACTGGTCCCCGCACCGCTACAAATGATCTTCTTATCACTTCTGATCTGGGCGAGGAATTATTGACTTTCAAGGGGCTACAAGTGACTTCCCTAGGAAAGTCGAGTGGAGGTGAGAGCAACCGCTCGGTGTTTTTCCGCACACGATGGCAGCCAGCCTTTGACAGCCTACCGGCAAGTTCGCCGGTCCTACGCCAGGGGAATATCGCAAAGTTGATGGATATTTATACCCACCAGCACCCTGATGCGAAAATATTACACCTCACGGATAGTCTGGACCATACACGTGAAGTGCTCCGTTACATCGGAGGTGGAGCCAACCAACGACGGGCATTTGACACCATCACACCGGCGGGACCTGATGTTTTGTCAGTAGATGACATCGAAATGTTAGAAAATGAACGGCCAGGAAGGGTGAAGCTTGGAGAGATGGAGCCAGGCAAGTATGACCTAGTCATTGTGAGCCGGCCAGGACAGGACCCCAGTCATTGGGCGAAAGAGCACGGATATATCATTGCCGATGGCTGCCAGATCGATGATCCAGGGCTCAACCTCGTAGTTCAGGGCAACGGGGTGGGGGTTTGGAAGAAGAAGCAGCAGACTAATCCCGGTCCTCAATCAGGAGACTACTCAGTAGCTCTTGTGATGCCCGAGAGACCGTCTGACCGGACGTTGCAAATTGCCGCTCATATTGAAGGAGTTACTAAGAGTCACTCAATACAGCGTCTCACCTTGCGGGATTTGGCCGGTCAGGCCACCATATCAGCGCAGGATATTGTTGTTCTGACAAGTTTAGACGAGACCGTCCTCGACCCTGCGGCTCAAGATCCGACCCAGTTTGATGCAATTAGGACCCTTCTCATCCAGACCGACCTGAACATTATTTGGCTCCTCGAAGGAGCGACGGAGGGACCGTCAAAGCCTCTGAACGGCATGCTTGTTGGACTGACCCGAGTGGCCAAGTCCGAGAATCCGGACACTCGTATCGTCTCCTTCGATATAACACCAGGGCAAGCCGCCAGCACAATTGCCGCTGGGGTCACTCGCGCTTTAGACCCAGGATGCGGGGAAGACGAATTCTCGCTACGGGATGGTCTCCTCTATATTCCTCGGATTGAAAACGACGACAGCTTAAACTGCAAATTGCGTAATGGTGCAGGCTCGGGCCCGAAGATGGAGACTGTCACCAGCGAAAGACCCATTCGCCTCAGCATTGGCCAGGTTGGATTGGTTGATAGTCTTGTATGGGAAGATGATCCTGAGGTTCTTGACAGCGAGTTGGCGCCTGGTGATCTCGAAATCGAGGTCTGGGCGTCCGCTCTGAACTTCCGCGATGTTGCGGCAACCATGGGTATTATAGACGATTATAAGCTGGGCGATGAGTGTGCCGGCGTGGTCCTGCGGACTGGAAAGGATGTGAGCCCAGCAGACTTCAAGCCAGGGGACCGCGTGGTTGCCCTGAGACCGGGCTGGGGGCACATCGCTCCGTGGTCCGTCATCCCGCCTATCACTGTTCTCGGCTGGGTGAGATGCCCTTCGACCAGGCAGTTTCTCTTGGCTTAATCCTAGTGACGGCCTACTATTCTCTGATCGATGTCGCTCGTCTGAAGAAAGGGGAGTCCGTCCTGATCCATGGTGCCGCTGGTGGTGTTGGCCAGATGGCTGTCCAGGTCGCCCAGCTGTATGGTGCGAAGGTCATTGCCACGGTAGGATCCCAGATAAAGCGAGACCTCCTACGCAATCGATATGGAATCCCAGACGAGCAAATCCTTTGTTCACGGGATGATAGCTTCGTTGAAGGGATTATGCGCTTGACGGAGGGTAGAGGCGTGGACGTCGTTCTCAACAGTTTGTCTGGGAAACTCCTCCACGCATCCTGGAACATCGTCGCACCGTTCGGTCGATTTGTGGAAATCGGAAAACGGGACATTCACGAGAACTCCGCTCTCGAGATGGAGCCATTTCGTCGTAATGTGCTGTTTGCGTCGGTCGACCTGGTCACCGTTTATGCGAAGAATCCGGCCCTGGGAGCTCGACTCTCCCAGGAGTGCTATCAACTCGTCCACAACGGTAAAATCCAGCTCCCAGAGACCATCCTTACTCTGCCCTGGTCCAAGACTATTGATGGATTTCGGATGCTCCAGATGGGCAAGCACATCGGTAAAATTGTGTTCGAACGGCAAGAAGGCGACCTGGTGCCAGTGAGACCGTCGTCCCTTGGGAACAACAATCGTTTCCATTCAGACAAGACATACCTACTGGTCGGTGGCCTGGGAGGCCTTGGGAGGGCCTTGGCAGAGTGGCTCTACAAAAAGGGGGCGAGAAGCCTGGCGTTCCTCTCCAGATCCGGAGCTGCTCGGGACGAAGCTCGGGCTACCGTACAGTGGTTACAATCCCATGGTGTTGAGGTCGCCGTGTTCCGTGGTGATGTGACAAACTACGGCGACGTAGAGACATGTATCCAAGGAATATCCAATCTCGGGGGCGTCTTCCAAGCCGCCATGGTTCTTCAGGATGCACCACTGGAACGTATGACCCTGGATCAGTGGCAACGATGCACGAGGCCGAAAGTGATCGGAACCCACAATCTCCACCTTGCAACAGCTGGAAAGGAATTGGACTTCTTCGTCTGCTTCTCGTCCGGCTCGGCCTGCTATGGAGCCAAGGGGCAGGGCAATTACTCCGCCGCGAACATGTATCTCGACACATTGATGCGCCATCGTCGAGAATTGGGGCTTCCTGGTTCGACCATGAATTGTGGGCGCATCTCGGGTGTTGGTGTAGTGGCAGAAGACGCGGCACTGGAGAGGTTTATGGACCAACAGGGGTATGATCCCATCAACAAGTATGAGCTATTGGCTCAGATAGAAGAAGCTGTTTTCTCCGATCAAAGAACGATTATTTCGGATCGTGGGATCGACACGTTTCAGACCATCACCGGTATCTCCCTGAAGCAGAAGGACAGGTACTGGATTAAGAAGCCTCTGTTCCAGAATCTGTACAGAAATCATGACCAGAGCGATGACGGTGTTGCTCAATCTGGGGAGGTTAATCTTCCTAGTCTCCTCCGGCAGTTGCCAGATGACGAAAAACGAGCAGAAGCCCTGCTTCAGCAGTTCATCGGCAGGCTTGTTGTGGTGTTAGGACTGTCGGCCGAAAACATCGATGCCAGCAATCCGCTGTCTCTCTATGGCCTGGATTCTTTAGTAGGGGTCGAGCTACGAAACTGGTTCAATAAGTCGGTTGGGGTTGATATCGCCCTCTTCGATGTCCTAGGAGCCAGTTCCATCAAGGCTCTGATTGACCAGGCTGTCGCCCTATTCAGCGTCCAGGCCGCAGCGACGCAGTCAAGTGCCAGTGTAGATTCAACGGCCAACACCACCGGTGGCAGTTCCGGCCGTTCCAATGCCACTCGCACCCAATCCAAAACCAATTCGTCCGCAGTTGTTTCTATTCCCAAGGTAGACCCGGCTGCACCTCTACCGCTCTCCGCATATCAGAAACGCTTGTGGTTTGCCCACTGCTTTGCTGCGGACAAGTCTATACTCAACCTAGCGGTTCTGGTAGAACTCACCGGTAGACCAGACGAGCAGTGCATGCAGCAGGCCTTGCATGAGACGAAGCGCCGACACCCTATCCTGCGAACTCGCTATTACGAGGGAGATGAGCATGCGGAGCAGCATATGGTTGATATCTCTGATACAAAAATCGCATTCGAAGACCTGTCTCAAACAGCAAACCCACGGGGTTCTTTGAGCACCCTGATCACTAACCTGCAGAGGAAAGAGCTCGATATCGAGGCTGGTGAAGTCATAGACGTCACAGTAGCAAAGCTAGCAGCCAGCGAGTTTGTGATGATCAACATCATACATCACATTGCGACAGATCACGCTTGTACACGCCCACTGTTCGCACAGTTTGCGGCGTTGTATAACGCGATCCGTGAGCAGAGAGACCTTGTCACGGTTCCACCTCCCACAGTCACCTATGCCGACTTCACTAGTTGGCACCAGGACCACCTCACCTCAGCGTCAATGGTCCCGCACATCCAGTATTGGAAGGACACCCTTGCCGACATGCCCCAGTCCTCGAAGCTTTTGCCTTTTGCCAAAGCGGATCGGATGCCGGGTGACCAGTATGCCAGAGCGACCCACACCGGCTCGATAGATGCCAAGATGCTCAAGCGCATGAAGCGGATCTGCGCCCAGTCCGGTACCAGTGCCTTCCACTTCCTTCTCAGCGCGTTCAGGGCATTTCTCTATCGGTATACCGAGGAGACAGATCTAACCATTGTGATTTTTGACGGCAATCGCCCCCATGCGGAGGTCAGCGACACCCTGGGTTTCTTCGTCAACAATATCCCCATCCGGTGCCGCGGATCGCTGGACGGCGCTTTCGAAGCCCTTCTCAAGGCTACGGCGTCTTGTACTTTGGAAGCAATGACGCACAATGCAGTACCGTTCGATGTCATTGTCAGCGAAACGAACGCACCCAGGAGCACCAGCCATTTCCCAATTGGACAAGTGTCAGTTAACTACCGCATGCCAGAAGAAGCTGGGCCCTTCCGCACGCAGGACTTCGTGATGCGGCCGAATGGGCTACGCAATATCCCGACCCCGTTCGATCTCCAACTAGACGCGCAAGAAGGAACGGATAAGCAATTGGAGCTGTCCCTGGAGTTCTCCACCACCCTATACGCTGCGGATGATGTCGCTCGATTCTTCGACAACTTCTTGACCTTCATTACAAGCCTCATTCGGGATCATCGGCAGCCCATTGAAGAGGTTCCGCTCTGCGGTCCATTGGAAAGACAAAGGTTGGAATCCGGGTTTTGGAATACCGGTCTTCACCAGAATTCTTGGAAAGATGTCAGTATCTCCTCCCGAATTCTTGAAAAGGCACAGGCTCACCCCGACGCGATTGCCATTAGAACATCTGAAGGGGATGCCGTCACCTATGGAGAACTGGCCACGCGTGCCCGTCGCGTAGCATTCTCTCTCCAAGCTGCTCGAGTATCTCCTGGCCAATTTATTGGGGTTCTGACCGACCCTGGAATCGATACAGTGACAGCGATGCTCGGGATTCTGTTCAACCGCTGCGGCTATGTGCCCATGGACCCGACAATGCCGCTAGATCGGCTGGCATTTATCGCAGCGGATTCCAGGATCAATGTCGTTCTCTTCGATCCAGCCTCTACCAAGCTTGCGGCAGGACTCCAGTCCAAAGTTGTTGGGAACTTGCAAGCAATGAGTATCGATGAATCGGCATGGACCCCATTTGAAGCTGGTGTGCAACCCCAGCTCCCCACAGACCCATGCTACATGATTTATACCTCGGTAAGTCGCCCCTTAGCCTGGCCCGTTTACACCTACTGTGAGCCTTTGGTCTAATCTCCAACCTGCAGGGAAGCACGGGACACCCTAAAGGTGTTGTACTCTCCCATGAGAGCGTCCATGAAATGCTCGCAGCCATGCATGACAAGTTTGAGTTTGCCACGTCTGACCGGTTTTTGCAAAACGTTTCTCCAGCGTTTGATCTCTCTGTTGTCCAGATATTCTCAGCCCTGACAGCAGGCGCCCGACTCTGTATCGCTAGCCAACGCACACGGAAGGACCCAATCGCCCTTGGCGATTTTATGCGCAGCGAATCCGTATCAGTAACCTACTTCACACCCAGCTCACTAGCCCTGGTGCTAGAGCACAACCCGGATGCTCTGCGTGCCTGTTCACAGTATCGGATTTCTCTGTGCGCCGGCGAGTGGTTACCAACCCGTGTCGCAAGAGCCTTCCGAGACTCGGGCTGCCCGGCGACCTTGTACAACGGCTGGGGGCCTACAGAGACGGTCGTGCAAACCACCTTCCATCAGGTAACTTGGCCGGAGGATGATCGTCACAACATCCCAATCGGACACGCCATCGGCAACAATCGCCATTACGTTGTCGACCCCGCCATGAACCTGCTGCCGCCAGGCTTCACTGGAGAGATATGCATTGGGGGGCCTCAGGTCGCGCTCGGCTACCGCAACCGGTTTGAAGCCAACAAGAAAGAATTTAGCAGCAATCCATTTGCCTTGCCCAGTGACCACGACAAGGGATGGATCCGTCTATGCCGAACGGGTGACAGGGGACGCTTTCTGCCCGACGGCCAGCTCCAGTTTGTCGAACGTATCTCCGGCGACAAGCAGATTAAGCTGCGTGGCTACCGCATTGATTTAGGAGAAGTGGAGCATGTCCTTCACCAAGCCTCTCAGGCGCCCCAGGGGCAGGGGCTGGCGAACCTTGCTGTCGTCGCTCGTACCATCGGGGAGAACAACGCATCCTTGACGGATGACCGTCTGCTGATTGCATTCGTAACCACAAAGCAGCCTGTGCCACTGCCGGAACAGGAACGATACTCTTGGTGTCTAAATTTGGCTTCGCAGGGTCTCCTTCCCGAGTACATGATCCCAAGTGCGTATGTGTTTCTCGACGCGCTACCAATAACCAGCAACGGCAAAGTCGATCGGAAGCTCCTCGCCCAGTGCGACATGGATCCCACGTTCCCTTCCAATCCCAACTCAGCCGTCACTCATGGAGGAGCAGGTCAGCTATCCAGAGAGCAGGAACACCAAGACGCGATGGTGGCCGTCATTCAGATCTGGAAGGATATTCTCAAGATTGATCGACCTATTCTCGCTACGGATAATTTTTTCGAGCTGGGAGGTCAAAGCATTCTTCTCATGCGGGTTCAGTCAAAGTTACGACGCACACTCGGGGTTTCTCTTTCTCTGCCGGAAATGATCCGTACGCCCACTCCATCGCATATCGCTAATCTTCTCACAGGCGACTCGCGGGGGGCACAACTGAATAGCAGCGCGTCCGCTCCTGTGGGGGGTGTGAATTGGGAGGAAGAGTGCCGATTGCCGAATGAGGAGCAATACACGATTCCGTCGGGATGCCGCCGGCCTTCACGATCCTCCATCACTGATATTCTGTTAACCGGCTCGGAAAGTTTTAATGGCATCCACATGCTTGCTCACTTGCTTCTCCAAGATTCCCATACCATGATTCATGTCATCGGCACGCACGCCCCGCTCACTCACAACCAGCTGATCGCCTCCTTGCGTCATCATCGTCTCCTCCATCATCCGAATGCTCTCGAACAGGTTTCGTCGCGTGTGCACTGCGTGCCAGGCTCCCTCTCAGAGGCCCACTTGGGACTTTCTCACCACAGCTTTCAGGCCCTGGCGCGAAGGGTCCAGACGATCTATCACCTAGCCTCGGAAGTCTCGCTACTGAAGACGTATCAAAGCCTGAAGCGGATCAACACCACGTCTGCACTGACCCTGATTGAGTTCGCCCGGAGCGGCGGGCACTGCAGCGAGATCCACTATCTCTCGACTTGGAGCGTGCCACACTTGCAGTCGTGGAATCAGGCGAAACGCTCACGGCCCGAGATTGCCGTGGGTGAAACCGCCATCGGCCATTTTACGCCGCCGCCCACCAATCAATCAGGCTATTTTCAATCCCGCTGGGTCACTGAGATGCTTTTCACCCAAGCCTCCACACGTGGCTTCCCTATCACGATCTACCGGTCCTCCGCCGTGACTGAGGCCGCACATACGGGCGTTCCCGCACCCAAGGACGACTTGGTTCGTGCTCTGCTCGTCGATATGCTCCGTCATCGGGCAATCCCGAAGACACACACCACTCCCAATCCCTTCGTCATTGATTTCATCCCCGTGGACTATCTTGTGCACGCCCTCGGCCAGATTTCTCGCTCGGAAGAGGGTGATTGGGCATCGGGCTTACAAATCTATCACCTTGTCAACCCGTCCCCCCTTCCGCTCGATGAACTGCCCCAGTTGATGGGGAAGATTAGCGGCGACGGGATCACTGGCCGCAAGGTGGACTTGGACCAGTGGTTAGAGATCGTTGGACAGGGGGCTCACGAACAGGAGCAGCTCCGCTTGGAGACTTTGAAAGCGTATTTTGAGCTCGGGCACACAATGTTCCAGCTGTCGCGCACCAACACCGATGCCGTCCTGAAGAGAGATCACTTTATCGAATGCCCTGCAGTCAACGAGGAGTACCTATCGCATCTATGGAAGACCGATAATATGCGCTCGGCGATGCCGTTGAACTAAAGTTGCCTTGGAATGTGCCCGTTTGGATATAGCATCCCGGATGTTGTTCTTCTCTGCCTGAATATGAGCAGGAACAGAGCATGCTTCAGTGAAGCAGATGTATGCTAGAGGCGGAATGACAATAAAAAATGATTTATCATCTATGCAGGCTGCAATCCTAGGTAGTAAGGGCTAGATATCAGAATTGTAGGTGGCTATTTCCCAAATAGTTTATTCTGCTGTAATCCTAATATATTGTTCTATACAACTGCAAATATCTGGGATCCTCTAGTGCCAAGTATCGTTACAACTTACTAGTGTCCAGCGCCCCGAAAGCTCCTCTTACACTGGAATAGCCCTTACACTGATACCCATAACATCAGTCCATAATATCAGGAAGTTAAGGCCCTATGTCAGACGCCATTAGATGCTCTCAGATTCACAAAGTATATTGATCTGATTGAGGTACATTGTATTATGATACAGCTGAAGTTCTATTGCGTTGTATACTCAGGGAGTAGAAGCATTGCCGAGCTTATGTCTAGGCTCAAGGAGACGTAGGGCTATAATTGGCGCTCACAGGCCGGGGTGAGGTCTGAAAAAAAACGTGATAGATGTGAGCTTACGGATTACGCTCTTAAAGTTACCTACACGGTTGGCAGCTTAGTAGATAAAACGTGAGAGTAGTTTCACTGCAAATAAAGACCGGCAAAATATCCTTTTGAGAACGAATGTCAATACTATAGGATAATTACATGGTCTTTCAATTATCACTCTGCATCACACGCGCATTCCTCCGACAACGCTGACCGTTGAGAACAAATGCCCTCTACCCTTCTAGAAACCAGCCATTTTACCCTTGGGGGCCAACAACATCTGGCTATGGCCACGAGGATCATATCCATCGGCAGCGCCAAAGCTGCCGAGTCGTTGTTGAGCAGTGCCAGAGCCGTAGCCCGCAAGGGCCAAGGGCGAAGGGAAAGGGGTATAGTTTGCATCCGCAAGGCCGACTCTTATATATGATGATCCAGGGTCACCGAAATCCAGGATGATATATTTGTCGATCAGGAAAGTCTCACCAAAGTTCCCAATAACAAAGTCATCCCATCCAAGCGCACGGACGTTCAAGATCGAGTAGCCTGGGTCAACGGGATGAGGGACCACATAGTTATATGGATGGATCTTCCATTCACGGCTGGATGTACCGAATCTGTATTTGAGGGGTTTCAGCTTATCAATCGCGCTGTTGGGAAACTTGTAAAAGATCTGCTGCGCATTGTTGGGCTGCTCTAAAGGGCTAAGGTACGTTGGTACCGCATTCACCATGTCAATCAGCTTTTGGTATCCCTGTTGCGACACAGGGGCGCCACGGCCGTAGCTGGCATGGTCAAAGACTGCACCGGCGCTTTTATTCACAGCAAGCTCCTCGTCGCCAATTGCGAACCCGGAGAGCTCCACAGTCCAGTAGTTATACACAGGCGGCTGGTATATAAAATCAATATCATTGACCAGGGGGAACTTGATGATATTGTGCCATTCGATCTCACCATGCACAAGGTCGTCTCGGTACCCTCCCAGCGTCTGAATCCCGTCGTGCCCATCACAGGGGCTCTTATTGGTGCCATAGCAGTACAAGAATCCCGTTTGTGTGTTGTTCCAAGCACCGGCCTCATAAGCCTGGTAGAAAGGGGATTGGATCGATGCTATTGCTATGCGTTAATCACGAATATTGATTTTTGCGGTGTTAATCGTTTAATACACACCATTCTTCATATCGTCAGAAAACACGGGAGAGAATCCTAAGACGGCAGCAAAAGGGAACATGATCTGTCTGGCATCGAATTGCACATCGGATGCCTGAATGGTCGCCGTGAACTCGACGGGTCCAACTGTGACCACCTCTCGGGCGATGTCGGCATCAATGGGAAGCGTGCCGAAAAAGTGGTTTGGATTCCAATGAAGAGACCTTTCAGAAGGCAGTGGTTCGAAGGTATGAGAGGCTGACGGGTAGAAACGCTCTTGCAACGGATTCAGACATTTATCTCCATTACCCGTGGGGTCTCCATAGCAGGTGGTAGTAACCACAAAATGCCCGATCCAGGTCCAGTCCACGAAAGCACTAAGGTCTTGTGCCGGTAACCCCATAGATATACTGGTCGTAAAGCCTGGTGGGGTCCAGTCAAGTGGCATGTCGTACGTCGTGTAGGTGGCCGACTCCGTAGTTAAGGGAGCCGCAGCCGTAAGAGACACGGCTGCCATAAAGGCCATGCCAATATCCCTGAACTGAGAGGGGATGGTCATGATGGATTGCAAAAGGGCCTGACGCGCTTCTGACCGACCAATCGTGGCTAGATGGCTTCGCTGAAGTGCGTCCGTTATTGTGTTTCGCCCTCTCAGACTGATGTTTCGGAGAGTCAATGGATAGTGGCACTACACCATCCATAAATACCTCTGCATCCCCGTTCAATCGCACACTCGATGAGTCGTTGATACAATGATGGGATGATGACAGATTAGCTTCCCCATGTCACATCAAGGATCTAGACTCACTGGCGAAGTGACATGAACCGCGAGAGTTGGCCATTCGGAACCCCTCGCCGCGGAGTACATGCAGCACTGTTATGGGTACACGACACGTTCAGCGCGGTCAATGACGATACGATCCCTTAGCCATCATCCCATCATGGGCCTTCGATGGAACGGTCCCGCGGCCCCACGGAGAATGACAATGCGGGTCCCGCGGGACTCCAAGATCCCGCCCAAACTTCAGAATACTACCTAGTCCCCGGCAGTTCAATTGACACAGGGACTTGCGCCTGAGGATTCGCTGAAAGAGCCATTGTCGCCTATCATATCATTCAAACTCGCAGGTCTCGACTACCTCTTGAGCGAGAAGAAAGAAGCAGGTCGTCGACTGAAACAGCTAGGGTAGAATGTTGACTGTGAAGTTGTAGCAGGGGCTCCCCATTATTGGGACCATATGGCAGAGTTGAGAGAAAGGAAAAGGCACGATCTACAGCTAGTTTTTTTTATTTTTTTTATTTTTTTTGGCTGCGGCGGAGAAATTGTGGCGGAGCGGGGTATTTAATTTATTTGAATTAATGTAATCTTATTCTTACCGCAACGCCATCTCATCTATTCTCATGGGATCATTAGATACGTTGTTCGATGTTGCGCACCCCTTATTATGTATCCCTGGAGACGTCTAGAACAAAATCATTTACTTGATGGCTGATGGGTTGCTCCTTTGAACCTCAATTATATTATTTATTAAAGGAAATACTCCCCTCTGACCATCTTATCTGATACATAAATCGCACAACTATTCGTCAAAATGAGCAGCATTCCTTCCGAGCCCAAGTCTCCGGCTGAGTGGCTCAAGTATGCACAGAGTGGGGTCGTCACGTCCATTCCATTCAGACAAGAACAGACAACCGTTCAGGCAAGTAAAACACACTCTTACTTGAAGTCAGGCAACTAACAAACCATAGAATAGCATCAGCGAGCGGGATATCTATCTGGATGCTTCGAAGATCATGATACCACCATCCCAGCTATGGTATGCTTATACAGATATCTTTGCATTCACACAGCCAGAAATCACCATCTCTCCAGAAGCCTACGGATCAATGCAAATTATTGCAAGGGTTCTTACAGCGGACACACCCACCAATCTGAAGGTAGTTCCTGATACGATTTGCTGGATTTATATCTACGCTTCCGTCCTTGACCAGCCATTGTCAGTGTCGGTAGGCGATCGGGAGCCTTACTCCTAGAGCTAGGCCCAGCAACGGGAAACGTGGGGGTGAAACTGATCGTCTCCCCAGATCACATCGATCTCGAGTATCAAGATGTTTACATTCGAGCGGTGGATGAGGATTTGCAATCGAGTCTCGACACGCAGTTGCGCATTGCTCTAGTACTTTTTTGGAGGAACCCCTCCATTGCCATTGCCATTTGCTCGTATGTTGCTTCAGTGACCTCCGATATAGCGTTGAGTTTCTATGCCCAGATCAATGCTCAGGCAGTGGCATTGGGGCAACAGCTAGTAGCCCAGGCGATGATGGGGCCGGATATATGTCCTGCTCCTGTACTGAAGATTGACCGGTATATGTCCACCGTACGCGATGCGCTTGACGCGGTTACAGCATTTGAGGAGCAATATCAGCGTTTTCAGGATAATGAATGCAATGTGGGCAATTGGAAACTGGCATGGAAGGCATTGCTTCAGCATGCGCAAACCCAGCTACGTAAAGATGTTACTCTAAGAAAGGTTGCCTGGGAGAAGTATCGGGATGCGTGCGCGGTTGTGGCTCGTTGCCAAGAGCAGTGCAACACTGATAACAGGCAGCTCGGTGATGCTGAAGCCACGTTTCAAGGTGGTCTTACGACATGGTATAGGACAACATGCGTCGTTGCGGCGTTTGAAGCCCTGAGTGCAATCATCAGTAAGTCTCACACACAGATATCCTTTTAATCGACGTAGGGTTGTGTGGATGGACTGACAGGATACAGAGTTTAGCAATGCTCTTGCTATTCCCTCGTCAGGACCTAAATCTTGTATCAGTAACGCTGCAAAAAATATCACAAGCGCAATTGACGATACGATACAAATAGAAAAGCAATCCGATAAAACAGGCAAAATAATCCCATCATCAACATTCGAGACGCTTGGTGACTGCATACAAACCCTTGAACGCATGTACCCCAGTACGACACATCTTGTTGCAGCAATCAAGAAGCTTGAATCGGGCCCTAATGTTAGAATTTCTTATGGCGAGGTGACGGAGAGTAACGACAGAGATGCCGATGCTCGAACTATCATAACGCTAGCTGCGTGGGATAAATGGATTTTTGATTCCAACCAACAGTTGGAATACGCAGTCAATCAAAATATTCCAGGAGCTACTGCATATCGGCTGGCTCTCCAGAGGCAAGCTATGAATGGCAAGGCATTGGCCCAAGCTCAGGTAGAGGCTGTGAGGGCTGGCCATGAGTATGTTCAGGCTGCGATGGAGGTCATTGCCTGTAATCAAGACATTTCTGCTTTAGAGGACTTGTTGGACCAATTTAAGGACGAGAAGGAACAGTATACCCAGGCTAAAGCCAAATTCTTCAGCCGTATCTTGGCCGTTCGAACCAGCCTTGTGATGCAAATGCAGAAACTGGTTTGGGCGTACAAATACCAGTCTCTAGCGGATAGTTCAGTTGTACTTGACTCGCAGAAGTCTATCGCCGATTTCAAATCTGATATCCTCACTCTCGACTGGGAAATTCATTCAGCGGACAGAAAATACGCCACAGATTCCCAACGTATGTTTTTCATTTATTGTCTGTTCGCCATCCAGCAACTAACTGCGTGAAGCGTTCGAGTACCACACCTCCTCAAGCGAAGTTAGATAAGCCTATTCCCATGCTATCAGTGTCTGTCTACCTAACTGATCGCGCTGAACAGCTACCTGCCAACTATGGCGAGTTAATGATCCAGTGGCTGCAAGGCGAGAGCCACAGTGCCAGCTTCACCCTTGCACCGACTATCGACTCGGCTGACAAGAACAGCTTTGCCAGCGTTTTCAACGATGGCTCGCATTTCCGCCTGGAAGGTCTGGAAATATTCTTGCGAGGTGTCGTTCCCCGATCAGAAGCCATTCACAATGGAGTCGCAAAGGTTGACATTGACATCCTGACGTCGGGGGTTTATGGGGATATTGAGGAAGGAAAGATTTCCCACTTTACGAGCCTGGCAAGACAAGTGCAATTTTCTTATGAGATCACGGAATCAGGTGAGATAGGTGATACGGTTGTTCACGCTCGATTCCCAACAGAAGAACATGCTGAGCCAACACCGTTTACTCAATGGATGGTTAAATTGAGAAATCCCAACGACTTGGATTTAACGAAACTATCTGGGGCTGAGTTGCACTGGATGGGAAAGGCGAGGTTTGCGGAGGCGAAAGTATCTAGTTAGATGCGTATTGTAATAGATCAAATTTTATATTTCAAGTCTATGCACGGAATGAAGTCTTAGGTATGAAAGAAAAGATCCCCAGGCCAGCTACTCGGTATATCATCTTCTCTCATTGTCAACTACCTCCTTGTCACTGTTTCCCTCCCCCTTAACCCTTTTCCTTCCCTCCTCCTTCAACTTCTCATCGTCCGCCCGATTCAAAGTCACCTGGGGCATCAGCCAAAAGGCCAGAACGAACGCAAAGGCAGCCAATGCGGTACCGATCAGAAATATAATCCGGAACCCCTTTCGGTAAGCCGGGATCAATAGGGACCGAGCATGTTCTGCTTCTTCATGGGGTAGTTTGGAGAGGTAGTTTTGAGGGCTCGATAGGAAAGAGCGGGTTTCAGCCGGTGTGAGGCCCAGCGAGGAGATCGAGCTTGTGATGAGATTGTTTCTATTCGTAAAGCAAGGGTTAGTTGGTGTTCCGCTACCTAAGTCAGGTTGTCGGTACGTACATGATGGTTCCGGCGACGGCCAGGCCGAGCGTGCCACCAAGGTTCCTTACGAAACTGGGTTTTGTTAGCCTGTTTTCATCTTCCAGCAACTTTTTGTTAATTGATATGTGGGATTGTGGTAGGCGTACTTCCGAAAGGAGGTCACGACTGCCATATCTTTCCGTTCAACTCCTGCTTGGACAGCGATCAGGGAGCTGGGGCAGGTCAGTGTCAGATTATTCTTTTGCACACTTCTCATGTTCGGCGGAACCTACGGTTGTAATGTATTTCCCACCCCAACACCAGTCAAGAGTCCGTAACCGATCTGTTTTCCCAAGCCGGATGATTGATCTAGAGTCGAGAACAAACCCAGTCCAACGGCCCAGATCATCCAACCGAAGAGAATACACTCCCTATAACGGCCTACCCAGTGGACAACAAGGCCTGAGACGGTACTACTAACAGCTGATACCTTCGTCAGTTGGAACTGTCCAGATAAGGGATATGGAAGAGACATACTCTGCATCAATGTTACAGGCAAAAGCATCGCACCGGCTTTCACAGTGGAATACCCGAACACCAGCTGATAAAAGGTTGGGATATAGTACACTTGGACGAGGAAATTCCACCCGTTTATAAACATAGTCAAGCACGCACCATTCACAATCCGAGATTTGAATATATGCATCGGTACGAGCGGGTATGTTGCTCCCTTCCATTGCCAGAGCACGAACCCAACGGCCACGGCAAACCCTACCACAATCGTGGCAATGACATGGGCCGAAGCCCAAGGGTATTCACCACCACCCCACGTCAAACCCAAAAGCAGGACCGCGGTACTGCCTAGTGCGAGAAATGCACCGACGAAATCAATTGCCTTGAGCTTCATCTTCCAGTCCCCTGTTACCTTCCGTAGAGGCATGAAGAACAGCACACAGAGGGTTGTGATTGCCGTGAGTGGGAGATTCAGTCGGAAGATCCATCTCCATGAATCCTCGTTGATGGAGGATAATGCACCGCCGATGACAGGTCCGATTCCATTGGCGATTGCTACTACTGCACCCAGGATCCCCTGGTATTTGCCCCTTTCACGGAGCGGAACCACGTCGCTAACAATCATCTGGGCCACGGTCATCAACCCACCACCACCTACACCAGTAAAGGCACGAAAGACTATGAGCTGTGTGGCTGTCTGCGAAAGCGATGCTGCCAGTGAACCGATGAAGAAGATGCCGAGTCCGACGAAAAGGACGAGTTTGCGAGACCATATGTCTGAAAGGCGGCCGTATATGAGCTGGAAACAGGTCGAGGTGCTACTGATTGTTAGCCGCCCGCAAAGGGATCTCAGATTGGTTCATCACGTACACAAAGTATCCTCCAGATATCCAAGAGGCTTTATCACTGGCATCCAAGGCATTTCCAATGATTGACAAACTGGAGGCCAGAGTGGTCTGGTCCATCAATGCTATGAGGTCGACTGTCGAGCATGCTAAGAATATCTGATAACATTGTCAGCCGAAGATAGAACTTCTTGTGGCTATTAGTATACGTACCGTAATAATGGTGCTTTTCGGGACATAATTTGTCTGTTCATTGAAGGCATGGGGTGTCTTCGTCTCCCCACTGGTCTCTGCGACGGCCGTCCCCGAGGAGTCTGACGAGCGTGGAGGCTTGTCCGAATTGAGTACTGCTCCTGACATGGTGCTCAGAAGTATTTCGAAGCTATCGGGCGTGGGGGGGAAGTGAGGTATAGTGACGAGAACCGGCACATGCCTTTAAACGACGAAGAATACGACCATCCTAAATCGGAGTCACATTCTGGGCAATTCTAAGCGAGCGGATCCTCAGATGGAGATGGTGAAGATCGCTTTGCAGCAAAAATAAAGTAGCCCATGATTGTAAAAAATGACGAATCATCAATTCCGGCTCCGTTGACGGGATGGAGAAAGACAAGAGTGAAACGCTGCCGCTAGTCGATTAGGGCTAAGGAAATGATCAGCGCCAGTGTTCCACAACTTGCTCAAAAGGACTCATCAAGGTACTCACACAGGCCTGTCGCCAAGAAAACAACAAGTCCAGAACCTGATAGAAAGCGTGCAGATTGTGAGGACCTGCGTGCTTTTTGTATGTCAATCAGACCCTGACCAGGGACCTTGTGAGTGACTTTTGCCCGTGGATTGGTCTTCACAAGCCTCGAGCTTATGGACTGGCAGTGACCAGCATCACAATGACCGGTAATGAAGGAATTATGGGAGGCATTGAGTTTAATGGCTGTGAAGATCTTGTCTTGTCCTCGCACCCTGGGGGAAGGAAATCTCTGCCATATGTACGAATCACATACTATTTCCTACCCGATGTATGTGACTCCATAGCGCTATCCAGCATCGGCTTATGCATTATCCAGCCAATATCCACGTTTTATACCAAGCGGATACGATCTTCATTGTCGAAAGGGGCCAGTCATTTCCTCAAAAGGAGAATTATGTTCTTAGAACGAGAACAATAACGCCATGGGGGTGGGTCGTTGCCTTTGACCCTGTAGCAATCTGGTTTGCTAAAGTTAAATGTAAGAGATTTCGTCAAGGAGGGGTTTATGCATCCTGCAGGAGTATAACTTAGAGGCCGTCCCTCCTTGCCGTTTCTTATGTATTATAGGTCTACTGGCAGACATTTCTTTCATTTTTGGTAGCATCCATTCAAGTCAGGAAAATGGCCAATCTCAACGAACGCAATGTATACTTCGGGCGTGATTCCCTCAAGAAGTACTTTGATCCTGATTGCCAACCTCCACTCCCTCTAGTTGAGCTTCCAGAACATCTCAATCCATATTATCACGATGGTGTAAGAATCTATGCCAAAATGATGACGATGCACCCAGCAAACAATGTCAAGGCCATGCCAGGTACGTACAATACGCCATATAGTGAATCCTCAAGGGGCATACGCTAATAATGTAGCGATGAACATGCTCGAGACCAGTGTGACCCCTGGCAAAACAAACACTATTATCGAGTACAGCTCCGGGTCTACGGTGATCTCAATGTCTATGATCGCCAGAGTCATGCATGGAATTCAAGACACGCGTGCATTCCTGAGCAATAAGACAAGTGAGGCCAAGCTCCAGCTGATGCAGTTTTTTGGGCTCAATATCACACTTTTTGGCGGGCCCTCCCAACCCGAACCGTATGACGAGCGTGGCGGTATCCAGAGTGCCCGGAGGATGGCAATCGATTCGGACAGTGTCCTCAACCCAAACCAATACGAGAACGACAACAACTGGAAATCACACATTCGCTGGACGGGGCCCCAGATCTACAAACAGCTCCCTGAAATAAATGTTCTTTGCGCAGGCATGGGGACATCCGGAACAATGACCGGATTGGGCACATACTTCAAGGAAGCGAAGCCATCGGTACTCCGTCTGGGCGTGTGCACAGCCCCTGGCGATCGTGTTCCCGGCCCAAGGTCGTTCGCCTTGATGAAACCCGTGGAGTTCCCCTGGAAAGCAGCCGTTGATGTGATTGAGGAAGTCAATTCGTCGGACTCCTTTTCATTGTCGCTGGACCTTTGCCGTGAAGGCATTGTCTGTGGCCCTTCGTCTGGGTTCAACCTGCAAGGTCTCTTTCAGATGTTGGAAAAGCGCAAGGCAGCTGGTACCTTGTCCGACCTTGCAGGACCTGATGGTTCCATTCATTGTGTCTTTTTATGTTGTGACCTGCCATATCAATACATTGGGGAGTATTTCCAAAAATTGGGAGCTGACAAGTTCCACCCCATTCAAAATGAAGTGAGTTCAATGTAACTCTATCTCACTACTCCCATGTACTAACTCGCCGCCAGGGACTTACTAAAGTTGATCTATATCGCTACGACGAGAGCTGGGAGCGAAGCCCCGTCGTTCTTTTCACTCATTTTTACAATACCCCTAGCGTTTTGTCGGAATGTCTTCTAAGTGACATCAAGCTGAGGCCCCTGTGCTGCGTCCTAGACTTGAGAACAATGGCGGACTTTGCTTCATGGCATCTTCCCGGCTCCGTCAATATTCCCTTGCGGAGTCTCGACTCACACACAGCGAGGCCGTTCTCGGATCCCACTGTGCTAGAGGCACAGTGGCTGGAATTAGAAGCAATGTTCAAGGACCCGAGTGTAATCACCAAGCTGGAGTCCCATCATGTGCTAGTGATCTGCTACAATGGAGACACGGCCCGGGTGGCCACCAGTGTGCTGCGGGCCAAGGGCATCGTGGCTGACAGCCTTCGGGGAGGATACCAAGCTCTGAAAGACCACGGGCTATGGGGTAGCAGTGGAGTTGAGTCGGTGGAGAAGAGCACATATCCAACGGCAACCACGACGGAACTGTCCGTATCAACAAATTAACCACTGGACGCTAAGCTGGAAGGGGCATGGATTGATAAGTTCGGATCAACGATGTATCTTTTTTTCTTTTTTTTCTCATTCTGTTATTTTTTTTGCCTTTCATCCTTTGTTTGGCATGTTATGACGCTTTCACTTACATGATGATTACGATTATTGCATCAACTGACTCCGTGGAACCGATGTCTCTTACTCTCGAGTTGTAGTTCCGTATAGGATCCGTTTACAATCGAACATCCCATGAGATTTGAGTTGTTCGCTGAAAATTGCAAACAAAATGTTAGACCATTGAATCCAACGCAAATGTGCTCACTCCTAGAATTGCATGCGTATCTGTGCGTGAGATTTAATTGACCTGATCGGCATTTCAATCGGTGCAGGGAGACACCACACGACGCTAAATTCCAGAAATTTGCTCAATTGCGAGCATCCCCAGCCTCTTCCGGCCAATCAGCAGCTAAGGAATGTTGCAACCCTAACACGGCTGCGGCAGTTGCGATGAGGATTGTAAATCGAGGCCACGGGGATGATCAATGCATGCATCGGTGACACATACCCAGTCTCGCATGGATGGTGCAATCATGTCGGTGCTAAAGTGAGTTTGGAAGTGGAGGAATTCACCATCTGACACGTCCCCCGATACAGCTCATCTTGAAGATTTTTATTCGATATTTTGCCTTCGCTCTATTGCCCATCTTTTCCTTGCTTGGAACGTTTTCATAAAACGAAAAAAAAAAAAAACATCCTATTGCAGAAGTCCTCCCTTGTTAGTGCAGGCATCTACATATAATCATCGGTACAAACCTGGTCTCTCAGACTGTGATGAGCTTCGTGCCGTGCAACCGTCACGATGATGTCCATGGATGAAAAGTCCAGCGGCGGCCTGCCATGGCTGGATATGCCGGTCATGTTCCACTCGTCCAGAGCCGATACATGCAAAATGACACCGGAGCAATGTGCCTATCGGTCAGGGTACTGGAGATACTGGTACTTTCTCTTTCTCTACCAATATTAGAAATCCCCTGCTGATGATTGGACCCGGTACAGGTACGAAGCAGACCACGTCTATTCATTAAACACAGTGTATTTCCTTTGTGCGACTATCGGCTCCTTTACAATCGTCCATTTTCTCTCCAAGTACGCACCAGTACGAGCAAAACGAAGCGGCATATGGCGGAAAACGACGGCCATTGGGCGATACCTCACATACAAAGGTTATCAACTACCTGCAATTCGGTATTGCTCTCCGTCGTTGGGCGTGATTCTCCTGGGTATCATAGGCACAATCTTTTTCTTTGGTTGGCACCCCTAGTTCGCTCCATGGGTTTCATATTGCTGATGCAGATATAGCCATGACGCTCGGTCCTAGACCTTACTACTGGCCCAACTCGAAAGATGGCACAGTCTCTTATGGAAACAGTCCGCCTATCGCAACTCGCACTGGATGGATGGCATTGGCATTACTGCCTTTTGTGCTGTGGGTACCTTAACCCTTGTCCAATATCCGATGCTGACCAGCGCAGGGCTCTGGGCGCCAAAGCCAACCTGATATCAGCATTGACTGGAGTGTCTCATGAAAAGCTTCAGGTATTTTAATAAAGGCTAGAAATTATATAGCATGGCTAACCGATTAGGTCTACCACTATTGGACCAGTTATGCCATGTTTGTCCTGGCTTTGATACATACGTTCCCGTTCATAGTCTTCAATATCTGGAAAGGGCAGATGGTCGAGAAATGGAACACCAGCGTGGTCTACTGGACTGGGGTTGCGACCTTAATTCCACAGGCGTATCTGACATTCATGTCCTTGCCATCTATTCGGTAAGCTCACACCTATCAAACGTCGAACATCACTAATCAATTATAGCAACCGGTATTATGAATTTTTCAAGGCAACACACTTCCTAGTTGCACTACTCTTCCTTCTCTTTTTCTTCTTTCACTGTGATTTCCGCCTTACATCTTGGTAAGCTCTTCTAAGTCGGAAAACATACAGTCCGCTAACCGCTGTAGGGACTATTTTGTTGCCGGAGGTGCAGTATATCTCTTTAGTCTTGTTGCAGCATGGACCCGCACGCATCTCATCAACGGCCGTCACGCAGCCACAATTGACCTGCTCCCTTGCGGTTTTGTACGCATCAGGATCCCGACAATCATGTCTTGGCGACCAGGTCAGCACGTCTTCATTCGATTCGTGAGCCCACAGCTCGGCCTGCACTGCCTCACAGCGCACCCGTTCACCATCTGCTCTCTGTCACATGACCCGGACAAGGTCGGCAAGGCATCTGAGATCGTGTTCTACGTCAAGCCGCACCATGGCATCACGGCACGTCTGGCAAAGATAGCGGCTAAAAGCCCCGTGTTCTCCCAGACCGTGTTTTTGGAAGGGCCCTATGGCGGGATATCTGATACTGCTACTCCCGCCGAATTCGATACGGCTCTTGTCATCGCGGGTGGCTCCGGCGGTGGGTTTTCTCTAGCTATCGTCGAAGAAGCTCTTAGGGTGTATGGAAATATGCCAGATCTCCAGCAACGAGATATTCAAGTCGTTTTCGCCACGCGGAATGCCGACGTAGCCGAGTGGTACAGGGAGGAGATTGAGGACAGGGTCTCCATGCACGACATGCCAGCCAAAAGAGTATCTGTCTCCATTCATGACACCTCGTTGGAGCATGTCCAAACGCCGGTGTCTGCACCAGGAGCCAAAGAGCCATCCAACGACATCACCGATGAGGTTGAGCCTGCCTTATCAGAGAAAGGCAGTGGTACTGCAGCAATAGACCAGCACGTGAGCACAATTCGACATGGTCCCCGGCCTAACCTCCCTCATATTGTCGATACAGCTACGTCAACCATGGGTAGCCGCAGGATCGCTATCTTTGCGTGCGGTCCTGCCTCCATGCTACATGACGTTCGGAATGCGGCTGCTGAGGCGCAAAAGCGGGCGTGAGAGGAGGTGCTGAGGTCTATTTGCATACTGAACCGTTTTCGTGAGTGTTCATTTTTTGTGTCTCGGGTCATTGGTGTATGAGTGAAATGTTTCGCTGCGAGTTAGGTTCTGTTATCCAATTCAGATGCCACCACTTTTGTGATGGCACTACAGAAGTACTCTATATACCCTTTATACTTTTAATTGACTACTTAGTAAATATATACCAGGAGCTTTAGTTAGTCCCGGATGACTATAGCTTATGCCGGAAATAATCTTAGAGTGTTTTATTTTTACTCTCCGGGGACAACACTGACAGCTTTCTGGGCGAACATCTCCGAAGTACTACTAGCTATAGTATAAAGTTATGGCTTGTACGTAGCAGCTTTCGATGGCTAGTAGCTCTCAGTATTCTACATACAAGCAACATAGATGAATATGTGAGATCCTGCAGAATTTTCAAGGATTAGAAATTAGCTGACCGGATCCTTGGGTTTCTTCTAGTATTGCTTAATGCCTTTCATAAATGTATATCCGGCAAGGATAGGCTCACCGTAACTTCCGGCAGCGAGTCCTCGACCAGACTAATCATTGCTAAGTCATCTTCCTGCGTTAACTAGTGACTGATATCTCGTCGGTGCCAAAAACATGGTCGGTGTTACTACTTTCTCCACCTGGGAGTAGCGCTCGGATAATTCGGGTCAGCTTGGGTCGGGCCAGTTGGAGCGAGGTCATCCTCAAAACAATAATTGGCGCATACATCTAACTTGGCCTTGCAAAAGAGAAGTGGCATTGTAGCCGAAGGGCGACAGGGGATGGGGAAATGCATGGAGCTAGCTCGAAGCTAATCATGCTTAACATGCACCGTCCTCGTAGAGACTAGAGATGGTGTTCGGAGGCCTTAGAGACTGCCTACTTGGAGAGTCTTGGATTTTCAGCGAGGCAAGGCCTTCAACAGGGTTTTTTTTTTTTGCTTTTTGCTTTTTGCATAAGCGTATCGCATATTGGAACAGCTGATTCGAATCGGCTGTTGACGATGAACATATCTTTTCTTAGTGAGACATTTATTGCCTCTGATAGTGGAATCATTACGCATACTGGAGGTCTTAGGGTTTGTCAGTTTGCTCGTTCCTCAATCCTTTCGTGGCCCTAGGCTGCCTGTAGCCCCCGGACTAGTAGGCCTGAGATCTCTCGGAGGCGGTCATCATTTAGGTGACCCGCTATACAATCATTAAAATGAATGCCTCGTATGCCATCCAGCTTCCAGTGGAATCAAGAGAATGGCTATATTACCGTTCGTTCTCTTCAGTTACTTACCGAGCAGTAACTACCTGGTACATAGTTCACTTCTTAGAATCTGTTTCCTTCCTGAAGCTTAGAATAGTTGTTCCAATGTTACCGTGTAGCTTCCAGGTATATGACCGATCTCGTATGTGGCAATACATCACAGATAGGCAAATTTATGAGTGGTATTGTGAGACGTCATGGTGGATATCAGTCTCCTGTGAGGCCCGTCGTCAACGTCAAGGTCCTCTTGTCGGGCAAAGAAAAGACCAAATACTCCGAATAATGACATCTACATAGGGGCTGGGTCATCAGCCACGGCCTCGGACTAGTCAAGTATAAATACAAGATGGTTTGCCGCTGAATTCCCGCTGATGATTCCATCTTATCATATGTATGCTTTCTGTTAATCCTCGTCGTCAAGAAGCCGTCAGAATGAAAGGGGACCCTATGCTCCGTTTATTTGTTTCTCATCGGCTTAGGGCAAACGGCAATCATCCCTCTTCCTTCAAGCACCGGGCCATGCGACGTCACGCTTCATGCAAGTGGACTAGTCGACCAGTCTCGAGCCGATCCATTTGACCCCAGAAGTAACCGTTCTATCATGGTCACCACCTTTACACTCGTCAATTGCGGAAGTGTACTCTCTACACCATACATTCCGAATGCAACAGCCAGGCATGAAGACGAGAGTTTCCAGTCACTTGGACCACCTCCAGGAACGTTCGAGTCCCTTCGCATCCAGACGCAGACACAGCAGCAGGAGCAGCCACCACTTTCCAGTCTCCAGAGAGATTATCCAGTCGTGCTTTTCACACCAGCTGTGGGAACCTCGAGATTGATGTACACATCGCTGCTACAGGATATTCCCAGTAGCGGGTTTGCCGTCGTCTCCGTTGACCACCCGTATGATGCCGACATCGTGGAATATCCCGATGGCGACACGGTTCTCGGCGTACTCGGAAACATCAGTACAGACGCAGAATACGGGTCATCCATGAATGCTCGTGTTCGAGACATGATATTTCTACTTGATCAAATCCACGACGAAAAAGTGGTCAGAGACTTATTCCCTTGTCCCTGGGAAACCTGCATATCCTCCCTCTTGATCGAGTAACTATCATTAGCCATTCCCTCGGCGGAGTAACAGCCACGCAGACAATATTGGGCGGCAGTCGGTTTGTCGGGGGTATCAATCTCGATGGTACACTGTGGGGGTCTGTCGTGGACCAAGGACTGTCGAGTCCGTTCCTGCTGTTCAATAACGTGAGCCACCCTGCAGCGTACTGTGCCTTGACATTTTCTTTTTCTGACATTCACAATTCATGAAAGAGGCCATCCATGGTTCGAAGCACTCCCAGATTCAAGTCACATTCAACCACCCTACGGTGGTGTTCGATCATTCAGACCATCTGAAAAGCATCCGGTGTGGTGTTAATTCCATTGAAGTCTGCTTCACAACTGAACAAGCCAAGGCAATTGTCCTGGAGACTTGGAAGGCGGACGCCAAAACAGGAGCTTTCCAGCTAGTTACCTACCACCTCGGATGTGGTGACACTACCGGCCACAAACGGAGCTACTTTCGCGTCTCCCAGCCAGCCACCAGTGTTGGTGCAACTTGTTTGTCGGTTCCTGTGGCTCCAATCGACGACCCAGATGCTGTAGAGTCGGGGGAGGTTTCCTGGGGTACGTACGAGGATAGCGCGCAGAAGAGGCGAGCTCTACAGATCAAGGGCCATGTCAAGCGTGCTGGGACTACTTCGGGGCCCATGTCGAACAGTACTAGTACTATGGATATCGAGCATAACATGGCTGCGGCTAAGGAGTTTTTAATACTACTCATGTTAACCCTCAGGCGCCTATTCCTCCCATTGACCCGGTCGGTCTGAATGGGACGATGATGAGGCGGGATCTTCATAGCCAAATGGCTCGCTCGAATTCTCTTGTCCAAGCGGACTTTAATGCGAATCCCTTTGGTGCTGTCAAGGAAGCTACTGAGGTACGTAATCCCTCGCCTTTTTGCCTCTCTTCTGCGCTATGCTATTCCGTGTGTGATCCTTTATGTTCTTGTTATCCACTACTTGATTCCCTTGGCCCCCTAATTCTCTCACCTGAATGGTACTGATTGGCTTTCTAGAAAGCCCGCAGCTCTTTAGTTGGTCAAGTCTCCGGGGTCATTAGCCAGATAGTGGCTCATGGTGTTGGGTTTTTCTACGAGAAATTCACAAAGGGTTACGACCATTTCTATCAATATGACTACGACCTTCATGAATTTCTTCAGCCTGGACCAAGCGGCAAGGGACCTCTCACACTAGGGGAACATGGGTATCTGATACGCAAGTACGACGGAACAAACCGGAAAAAAAAGGACACGGGCCTCATGATTAGTTGTGTCAAGTGTGGTATTGAAGGAAAATTCACTATAGAAGGCAGATTCAGTTTTCACCTTGCTCACGGATTGACCAACGGCTCATTTGTGGTCGACAGCACATCGGAAATTAAGGTCTCTGCCCATCTAGGTATTACCGTTGACGGTAAATTCAGCTCCGTGGCAGTCAAACGGCAGCTGAATGCAACCCGCGTGGGCCTTGTTACAATCCCAGGCCTCTTTATTCTGGGCTCGGAGGTGACCTTCGCGTCAGCACTGAACTTAGATATCGATGGCACGGCTGAAGCACTTGTTGGGGGGGTAGTTACCCTCAGCAAAGGGCGGGCGCTCCTTGACCTCAGGGACGAGGGGAATAGCAAGATTATCGATGGGCTGAGGCCATCGTTTGTGCCCAGAGCCCAAACCCAGGGCCTCATGCAGGCCACCGCTGCGATGGGATTTCCTATTGGGCTCGAGCTAGGCCTCGATGTGCTAAACGGAACGTTTAAATCAACTGTCGCTCTCATCGATACTCCATCGTTTTATTTGTCCGCAGGAACCTTGGTTAGCGAAAGGTCCACCTGCCCCGGGGTTGAACTCCACATGGGTTCTAAAAATAAGATGGAGATTAACACATTCAACCAGTACAATCTGGAAGTTGATAACAGACTCACTTTCGACAAAAGCTTAGGATGCGTTAGCTCGAAGGGGTTCGATAGAGATGCTGTGAAGCCTGACCGCACGGTCGTCTCGGACACCGAAAAGCACTTTGGTGGAGCAAGCCAACTCAATGTCAATACGCAGACCCAAGTGCGAGACCTCGCCCGCAACCTTGGGGGTAACGACCAGCCAAAGTGGTGGTCGATTATTATGGACAGGAATCAAACCTCGTACCTAGTCACTGGGACGGATGGCTACCTCTACCTGGCCAAGGATGGGGAGAAGAACGAAGTGAGTGAGCCGTGGGGAACGGTTGACCCCCAATCGGGTCTGTATGCATTTGACGCCATGGGCCGGTTCCTCGGCTTTGACCCAGACCAATACGAGAAGACTCAGCAAGTGATCGTGACTCCTCGGGTCAATGACGGTGAGTCTATGCCGGATGGAAACTTGTTCGCGTGAGTTGAACCCTGTTACCCCCAGTAGTCTTTCATCGGACGGTCATGTTAACTCAGGTTAGGATGATGGCTCGGCTACGCGGCAAGGATGAAAGTTCACCTTTCGGGGTATTCCTTGGTGGCTACTACAAGGCCTATTATCCTACTTTCTGCAAATTGAGCGGGCAAGGTGCGCGACTCTATGCCACTAAATATGCTGTCGGGGAGGGGGGGAGGTTTTACGACGATCGCGGCCAAGAGCAGCTGGGTGCCGATGTATACTTTACTAGGCTAGGGTTAGACCCGATCAACTGTCGTACCGTAGACCTGATCTCAGCCGGAGCCAGGAAAGACTCCTCGTGAAAACAAACGGGGCGTCCTCGAAGGAAGCAGGAGGATGGGCGCTTAGCGGGAGGGCTTCTTAGTACTGTGGAGGCGTGCTGTTCTTACGCTATCGAACCTAGATAGGGGCAAACCATAGCCAAGAAGCTCTATGCAGCTAAATTTAATCTATACTTTGAGTAACCGGTTCGTATCACAGTAGATATTACTTCAAGACTGGGATAGACTAGAATACATATACAACCCAAAGTCGTGCAAGATTCGACTCCGAAAGATAGAAAGGTATGCGGTGTCCGTACAATTTAACATACCACTTCAAGTTGCTTCACCGAAGGATCCAACTTGATCTCCTGATGTTCATGGGTGGGCAATGCTTGTCGTGAAGTTAGAAAACTCTTCGGAGACATCGTTGCTGTGTTTCTATGGTGGGGGGACGGTGGGGGAAAATTTGTGTGAACATACTCCGGAGTACAAAGGTTGGAAGACTCTACGAGGTTTACCAGGCAGGAAGATTACCAAACAGAAATCAAAACGTTTAGGGTATCAAGCTATAGAGTGCGTCAAGCTTTTCATTTTTGTACTAAATCAGACCATCATGCCGTCATAGTCCTTGTCCCAGTACGAACACCAATCGCCCAAAGGAGGCGAATCTAGTTCATCTGGCGGATGAGGGCGTTGATGTTCTCCTCACGGTTACCGTAGTCACCACCCTCGATGAAGTGCTTGAACTTGCGCTTGTGGAAGCCACCAGTAGGGTTGGAGAGCTTGAAGGGCCAGAGGAAGTTGTTGGCCTGCTTGAAGTTGGGGCCAACAGTGTAGATCTCGTGGATCAGATCCTCAACGCAGACAATGCCGTACTTGCCGAGGTTCTCCTCGATGATCTGGTTGTCGGAGATGGCAACACGCTGCTTGTTGACCTTTCCGTAACCACGCTTGTAGATGAGCTCACGGATGCTCTTGAGGTTGGGGTAACCGTAGGCAATGTAGGGGTTGATGATGGTCAGCATCTCCTGGGTAGCCTTGGTAAGGCGAACGAAGGTGCCGTTGTTGATCTGGAGCAAACGGAGGAGCTGCAGGATCTTGCGGGGCTGGGGAGAGATCTTGTTGATACTGTGGCAATAGTTAGTCGCCTGATCTTCTGCAATGGACAAGCCACAAAAACTCACCCCTTGATACGGATAACGAAGACAAGCTTAGGCTCCTCGGCAACGTAGAAGCTACCATCCTTGCGAGCAACGCGGCCAAGGCGGATCTTCTCACGCTCAGCATCGCGGTACTCCTTGACGTAGGACTCGGCGCGCTTGAAGATAGTGGCACGCTTCTCCTTGTTGGCCTATACATTCTCTGTTAGCGAGAATTCTACCAAGGTATTCATGACAAAGATAGTGGTAGAGTTAACGTCAGCCCCGAAAGATGGTTAACAGAAGCGACAGCATCGACCGATGGTCTAGTCGCGTAGTGGTTGCTATCATCACCCGTTTATGTGAAAAGGGAAAGGGAAAAAAAAAAAAGTGAATACTCACGGCCTTCTTCTTCTCGGCCTCCTCACGGGCGACAGCGCGAGCCTGCTCCTGGCTCTTGCGCTTCTTCAGGAGAGTCTCGGGGACGAGGACATGGTCCTGAGTGGGGACGGTGCTGTTAAGGTCAGTTTAGTCTGTCCATGCAAAAATATGCATATATTCGCCGAGTGTAAGAACTGCAGCTATAGCGCGGCATTCTCAACTGAAGGCAAGAAATAAAGAAGCACTCGACGACATGTATTTAATCAGTGAGACATGAAGGGCGCGCCAGCCGGTAATGGAAAGTTGCTAACTAGTCATGCATTTTCAGCATGGGTTCGCAACTCGGCGATGACAGCGACAATCATAGAATTCTCATCCGACAAGGCCCCGAACATAACGCTCAGGAAAATAGTGTTGACGCCGTTCGTCCCATCCTTGTCAAACCATTTCGGGTCTACTCAGATGGAAACGCAGCTCGCAACAATTTCTTTCAAGGAGAAAGCAGCTATGGCTTTCAGCCTCAATACCCCAGACGGTTGTGAACCCAATCCATCATCTCGTGCTCATATTACTGAGGCGCAAGTCCATGGAGGGAGACAGATGTCACGGGAAAAATCGAGCTGGTGCCCAGCGACCGTTTCTGATCGCAGCATCTCCAGCGAGAAGGACGACTATAACTTCAACCCTTACAAGCTCATAAAGCGAAGCAACCGAAAGGGCATCCGCTAAAGGGTATCATACGTAGCAGTAGAGGCCATTGCGACGGTCCGTTGAGTTCGCGAGATGGGCGGTTGGCGAATGCTGTCGTACTGGAAGAAGTTCAAAAAGAAAATTGCTTCGAGTTGAAGAAAAACGAGTTTGTGGGTGGGTCAATGCGCTAGCCCATAAACGGCTAGCCTCCCTCAGGACAACGACCTTCCCCTTCTGGGTGATCTGCTTAGGGCAGAGACCTGTCAGCTGACCGCCTCCGATAAGGCGCTGGCGATAACCGATGACATGACGCCAATCTTAATGTTCTCCATACCCCACGTCCCTCCTCTCTACCTAATAGCTATCCTAGACTATAAATTGCCATGGCATCGCGTCGAGGTGTCGGGCTAGGCGCCTTCGCAAACCGCTCCCAGGCTAGCCAATCCTACGCCAATCATGGCGCCAATCTACGTTCCACGCATCTCTCCTCCCTGCAGGCACAATTATCCGTGTTCCAGTCATTGCTCCACACATTCGCATTAGAGCATAGCTCGACGATAAAGTCAAATCCTTCATTCCGTGCAGAGTTTGCTCGAATGTGCAATGCGATCGGTGTTGACCCACTTGCAGCGAGTAACGTCAGAGGCAAGAATGGTCGGAAGGGAATGGGTGAAGGGGCAAGCTTTTGGACCCAGATAATGGGCGGGGATATGAATGACTTCTACTTCGAGCTGGCCGTCCGTATAGTAGAGCTTTGCCGAGAAACAAGGAGTGAGAATGGAGGCTTGATAGGCGTTGAGGAGTGCCGTAAACGTGTAGGCAAAGGCAAGGCTATAGGGAGCGGGTTGGAAGTAACTGAGTAATGAGCCCTCGAACCATGCAGTACATAAGGTATACTAATTGCTATCTTCTCAATTTAGTGACGATGTTCTACGTGCCGTGAAGTCTTTGGAACCTTTGGGCTCTGGATTTTCGATTGTCCGCGTTGGTAGCAAACAATACATCCGATCGATCCCTAAGGAGCTTAATACAGATCAGGCCACAGTGCTCGAGGTTATACAGATCCTTGGCTACGTGAGTATATCTATGTTGCAAATAAATTTAAATTGGGAAAAGGCTCGGGCGCAGACTGTTATTGATGACCTTCTGGCAGACGGTCTGGTCTGGCTTGATGGCCAAGGTGAAGAGAATGAGTATTGGTCACCACAGAATCTACTTGACGATAGTGGATGAGGCTGTTGTCTAGGGTAAAGCTATTCTTTCGATCAGGAGAGATACTCTATTTCAAAAGATCTTATGGCGATGGAGTAGATAGCACCCAAGGTTTCGTTCAACCAATTCGAAACCTCCCTCACTTATATAGACGTTGAAACATACACAGCTACCGTTGTGGTGTATCAGAGGCTGCAGACGCGTAAAGATTAATGGAGGAACAGATGAATTACTAGATGGATTGGCGAAGTATTGTGTATGGGCGCTGCCCACCCTAGACTACGTCGGGGAATATATATATTTGGGGACAGCGGGTAAAACCCCAACAATCGGATTCTATCGCTAGTCCTATCTGGCTGAGAATACGAATGAAAATTATAAATATACCATCACATTCGTATTTCTACATAAAACATACCTAGAATAAGTTTCTTGGTCCGAATATGTCTATGTTTACGTCCGTTTCCTTGCTTTTGCTTTGCTTCGAGCACCTATTTCTCGGCCGCACTTCGTCCAATTCTGAAAGGGGATTTATCTGTAAAAGAGGAAATGCCATATGTATCAAGAAAAGAATAATCGAGAGATTGACAAAATATTCGTCAATAATAAGAGCACATGGGATCATACGTAGTTAAATTCCAGGAGCATTAGAACCATGAAAACAAAGGGATGCCATTACAAACAATTTTATGCCTTGATCGCTCCGCCCAATGCACCACCGCTGAATTGCTGTCCACCGGGCCGACGACCTTGTTGGCCGCCTGGCAGTCTGGGTCCACCACGGGCTTGGCCTCCACGTCCAGGGCCACGGCCTCCACGGGCGCCGGCGCCCTGATCGCGCTGGAAAGCGTTGGCCATGCCTTGAGTGCGCTGCTCGAGAGTCTTCTCGTTGGCCTCCAGAAGGTTCATCGACTTGTCGGCAAGAGTGACGATCTGGGACTGGAGACGCGACAGCTCAACACCCTTGCGGAAAATGATGGCATCGTTGACCTGGTCAAGAGCAGCGGCGAGCTCCTCATGAGATATCATACGGCTGATTATGGCGGCAATCTTCTTCTCAGACAGCTCAAACATGCTTGACAGGGTGGAGATAGAAAGACTGTCGTAGAAGGGAGCATATGTGAAAAGATAAGTTCTCAGGCCCTCTTCTTGGATCTGCTGGGACAGCATCTCCTTGATCTTGTCGGGCTGGGGCATCAGATCCCAGATCTTGATGGAGTTGAGCATCTCTGCAGCCTTCTTCCAGTCACCCGCAGCAAGGAACTTGGCGCTCATGATGACACCATCACGAGTGTTCTCTGCAGGGCCAGTGAATACTTGACGCTCATTGTAATCCAACATACGACGGAAGGTCTTTGATATGATACGGCGCTTCATTTCGGGTGAAGAAGAGGTCTGAGCCATGAGAGGGACTTCCAAGAACATGCTCGAGGTAAGGTAGATGCACTCAAGAAGTTCCAGGTTGATGTGCATGTGGAAGGGCAGCTGACGCTGACGCTCAAGACGCTCCTGCTCAGGAGAAACAGTAGAGTAACGCTGGAGGATGATACCTTGAGCGAGAAGTTCCTTCTGACGGCCACTGCCACACACTTCGGACAGGGTATTTTGGGCTTCGTAGATAAGGCCAGCACGGAATGCGCACAGACCGATTTGAACCAGGGTCCGGTTGAAGAGAATCTGGGTGTTGACATCGAAGTTGGAGATGTTCTCGGTAAGGTGAGACATGAGCATCAAGTCACGGGAACGGTAATACTGGTCGTGCAAGGCAAGGAAATAGATCTGGCACAGCATGGAACGGGCCCTGATGATACCGTCACTGTACGTGAAGAGATAGTTGCACAGGGTCTGGACCAGTCCTGTCACATCACTCGCGTTTCCACGAGGAGTAACCTTGGAGTCCAACTCGGAGGGAAGTGCCTTCCAGGAACCCTCTTCCAGGATTGTAACAACCTGAGAAGGCTTGAAGTAGATGTGCTCCAATCTGCGCATGACAACCCGGTTGAGGCTGTCTTGACGCGGATCGCTCTTCTCAGCCTGGACCAGACCTTCAACGTAGGCCTGAACGCGGACAAGGTTGGTATACAGCTGCTTCTCATCGCTCAGACGATCGATGTATTCAGCAGTGTGGGGATCGATGTGTTGCAAGGACCGGGTCAGCTCGTCGTCGAGCCTCTCAACGTGAGACACGATGCTGCCTGGGACGTGCAGGGTCTCGCCGGGCTTGACCTGGGGTTGCTTCTCATCATCTTCCCACTCCTCAGCTCCCTCAGTGACAACATGGTCGCGGTTGGTCTCGAGGACAGACAGCAGAGCAGCAAGTTCCTTCTCAGCAAGCTTCCATTGGTCGACACTCATGTAGTTGGCGGAAGACGTAGAGCTAATGTCGAAGCGGGTAGAGAGAAGAGTAAGGTAGATACGAATGCGCTGGTAAGGAGTCTGAGCAACCTCCAGGAGCTTCTCCATGGTCTTGATCTGCTCGAGGCGGTCTGTGTTCTTCTTTCCTCTGGATTCGACAATGACGCGGAGGTGCTTGAGAATGCTCTCTGGGGTGTACTGCAGGGTCTTGCCACCACGGCCAACAGTAGCGAAACCATCATCAGTAGAGATTGCTGCTGCAGGTGCCTCGACAACGCGCTCAACCTTGGTCAAGCGCGGGGCTACGACGGCGGGCTTAGCCTCCTCTTCCTTACCTTCCATGTAGCCATCCTTATCTTTGCGATACTTCTCGATATGAGTGGCGTACTCCTTGTTGTTCTTCTTGATACGTTGCTTGACCGCGTTGAAACCCCTGGAGTTGCTTGCGTTCATCGCCTTCTTCGATGACTTTTGCTTCGTAACAGCCTCGTTCACGAAATCCTCGAGATCGGCAACGGCTTTGACATAGATCCTGGGAACTGGGCCCGATTGCGTGACCTTGGTGACCTGGCGGTTAAGCTTATCGAACTCTGAATCCTTTGAGTCAGTATGCATGTACCAGAGTTATCCCTACACGGCCATAGCTTTCAGCCGATATCCAACGCACCTGACGAGATAACAGCCCAGTCGTTGATTTTCTCGGCATTCTCGATCAACTTGATAATGCCCTCAAGTTCCTCCAGTCTCTTATCCTTGGCACTCTTCACAACCGTTACTTTCTCCTCATCCTCGCTCTCCTCGCTCTCCGATGCATCCCTCAAGAAACGATTGGCACCGGTTTCACCCTCGTCATCGGAGGACTCCTCCTCCGAAGTCTCCTCCTCCTCCTCGCTGGATTCCTCCTCAGACTTCTCCTCCTCCTCGTGATCGGTGACAAGCTCCTCCTCATCGGAGCTGGAATCGCTGTCGCTACCGCTACCGTAGAAGAAACGCGACATGTTGGCGGATTTTCAGGTAATTCGGACCGGAAAGCGTCGCGGGGTGTAAAAAATGGCCGTCTCCTTAAGTGGTGAGACGCACGGTCGTGGAATTATTCGAAGGACGATTCCCTTAAAGCCCGTCGGTTCGCTCTCAGAAAATCAAGTTGTGAGGGTTGGAGCCGCAGAGTCAGACCGCGAGCCACAACGAAATTTAAGCGAGGTGGCGCCTAACCGTATCGGGTAATCATCCATCGTACTACGGATCGCGCCTCCGCGACTAAACGTCCTAACAGTGCGGAGAGGATTGTTCACATCAAATAAATGGGCTTAGATAATTGATCTACATAATCAGATGCCCTCTCCTTCAACCTGCACCCCATTAAGTGAGTGGGAGAGATTAGCAGAGGCTTTCTTTGCGCAAAAACTGACGGTGGTTCGATATTGATGAAATCCAAATATCCAAGCTTAATGGTGCTTCTCTTAAACGGGTTCGAATAAAAGGTAGAAAAAGGGGAACAGATTTATAATGGGAAAGGATGTATCAGTTCCGGACAGAAAAGAAGAAGCAAAATGTAACATTTAACATGATAATGCGGTAACAAATAACATAAATCGCGGTCTTTCCAAGTACTCCTGGCTATGCCGACAACAGCCACATGCACAAATCTGGAAGAACTCGATTGCAAGACAGTAAACCGACGGCGAGCACCCGAGCACCCGAAAGGCGGTTGTGAATAGGGACCTCCATGCAGCGTCAGGGGCGTCGTCGGTGAATAGCGCCCGTGAAATGTTGCACACTTGGCACCATAGCGGGGGACTGATGTTGCATTTTATCCCCTCCTAGCCAAAGCCCGAAGCTATGCCGTCTGTTAGTCCGCAGACCGTGCCAGACCAAGTGCACAACTTGATGGAACGGAGTTCACATTGGAAGACTTTTCATTCATGGCCGGGGCATGTTGGATGGCAAAGGCTAGTAGCAAGAGAGGCTGGAAGGGAAGCGGGCAAGGGTCCAAATATCAAGCAAAACAGAACGATACTTTGGAGCAGCTCTGCGGTCATGCCTTGAGAGGACACGCATCCGGAGCTTATGCTTGCCCGGTCAAAAGTGCACTCGCTAATACAAGATGTTAATGCACCCACGGGTGCCACTCAAACTGGTTCCAGCACATTTGTGCTTAGTGCCACTGATTCTGACTCATGAAGCCATCTCCCCCTAATACACCGTCTTCAAGGGTTCTAATGAAGTCCCGGTTACGTGTGCCACCTGCGCGACTTCCGCGTCGTCGTTGATTCGCAGCACCGGTGTCAACATATCCGTCAGGAGGGGGAGGGTAATATGCCGGGCTGGGCTGTAATCGAATGGGTGCGTTCGGGTCGAGATGGCTGGCAACTCGCTGAATGGTCGGTGGGACCCCGCCACCCTGAGGATCCATCGTGGAGGCACGTTGCCGACCCGCTCTTGTAGTTGCTTGGGCATAAAGACTCTGGGACGGTGCGTACTGTGACTGGGGCATCTGACCTGACATAAGATTCATTTGATGACCGTAGCCAGGTGGCTGTTGGGTAGGGTATGGCGGAGGGGCGCCTTGTTGGTGGCTAGTAAACACTCCGTTGTACATGGGAGGCGGGGGCTGAGCATGAGTGGGAGTGTGGAATTGGTTCAGTTGTATCGAGTAGGCAGTCTGT